AAAAAAAAAAAAAAAAAAAAAAAAAAAGGCATTGCGCACTTTCTTGACTTTATCCATGTACACATTGACCTATTTTCACTTAAAAAAAACATCAGAGAATTGCACAAAGTAGGCTTTGTGCACTCTCTTGAGTTTGTCCATGTACACATCGATATATTTTCACTTATAATGTCAAACGAGCACCCAATTCTACAGTAGAGGCAAACAAAAAATACATAATCTCAATAAACTACATTTTAAACCAAACAATAAAATAACATAAAAAAGGATTATGCATTAACATTATACATTTAAGCATTACAAATAGCAAATATCCACTTACCTCTGTGGTACACAAAATTCAGGTAGACTTTAAGGTACCCCTTGTATTATGGCGAAGTTGTTGTTTGATTTATCACCAAGTTGTTGTTTGATTTATCATAGCCTGAGTAGTTGAATGTTATGGAAACCCTATTGTGACGTAATCGGGCGCATGATTCTGGGAAATTTTGAACCATGGAATGTTTCGTAAGCATTTTTGTGGTGTGTGTTGGTTTGATTCTTTAGACAATAGAATGGCTAAATGTAGTAAGATTAATTTGAAGTGTCTGTACGATTTGGAGCGAAAGGGAAAAAAGAGCTTTAATTGACTGGAGTGTAAATGAAGGTTTACTTAGGAGCCATTATAAGTGACCTGTATGTAGGAAGGATATGCGTCTAGTCGAACGTAAAAACCGTTTAGATGGATTTGAATGGGTTTGTAGGAAGAAAGGTTCAGATGGTCACTATGTGAAGCGTTCGATCAGAACCTGGTTTGAAAAAAGTCATTTGAAAAAAGTCATTTGAGTATGATTGATATTTTGATTTTTATGTGGCTCTGGGTGTACGAAGCGAACTCGAAAATCATGGTAAGTGAATATTTGCTTTTGGTAGTGCTTAAATGTATAACATATTTTTCCTTTTTTATGTTATTTTATTGTTTGGTTTAAAATGTATTTTATTGAGATTATGTATTTTTTGTTTGCCTACATTGTAGAATTTGGTGCTCCTTTGACTTTTTAAGTGAAAATATATCGATGTGTACATGGACAAAGTAAAGGGAGCGCACAATGCAAGTTTGTGCAATTCTGGGATTTTTTTTAAAGTGAAAATAGGTCGATGTATACATGGATAAAGTTAAAAGAGTGCATAATGCCATTTTTGTGCAATTCGGGAATTTTTTTAAAAGTGAAAATAGGTCGATGTGTACATGGATAAAGTCAAAGGAGTGCACAATGCCATTTTTGTTCAATTCGAGGATTTTTTTTCAAGTGAAAATAAGTCAATGTGTACATGGATACTGACTTTGTGCAATTGTTTGTCTTGTTATTTTGGCTTTGTGACCAAAAATCGCAAGCCAAAATAATGAGTCAAAGAATTGCACAAAATCAATATCCATGTACCGTTAAAATCGCCAAGTTTCGCCAAGGGGTACCTTAAACTATACTTTTACCCAAAATTCCTTAACAGCATACAAAAACTTCCTAAAACTATCTGAACTAGAATCCATATATTGGCATTGCCACATAAATCCACAAAAATAAGAGTAAAAAATATCCTACGTACTAAGTAAACCTTCATTACACACCAGTCAATTAATGCACTTTCCCTTTTTTGTTCCAAATCATACAGAAACTTCAAATTAATCTTACTACATTCAGCCACTTTACCGTCTAAACAATGAAACAAGCAATTCATTTCCTAACCGCACACACCACAAAAGCCCTTACAAAACATCGCATGATTCAAAATTTCCCGGAATGATGCAAACGATTACGTCATAATAGGTTTTCCATAACATTCAACTACTCAGGTTACCATAAATGAAATGGCTAATCTTTGGAATATGGTAACAGGTAGTTTGGCGACATTTTGGTAAGGCGATAAAGGTTACTAGCTAGAACTTTAGCAGTGTACATGGATAAAGTCAAGAGTGTGCGCAATGCCATTTTTGTGCAATTCTGGGATTTTTTTTAAAGTGAAAATAGGTCAATGTGTACATGGATACCGTGTATGTGCAATTCTTAAAAACGCGGCAAACAGTGGGCGATTTTGCACTTTCTCCCAATTTCACACCTAATCTTCGTCATGATTAAGCACTTTTGTTCCATAAAAGTTCTAGCATAAGCATAATTCGGCTAGCAGATTGTTGGAAAAAAATGTTGAGTTAAAAAAAAAAATGCCTTTACTTTGTGAAAACAAAATGCCGTCCAAGAAAAACTAGCAGGTTGCTGTAGCAAGGTTGGTCGCCAAATTTTCGCCAAAAAATTGCCAAGTTACCATAATCTGAAGATTAACCAATGAAACAACTTGGCAATAAACGGAACAACATGGCGATAAATGAAACAACAACTTCGCGATAACACAAGGGATAAAGTCAACTCCAACCAAAATGGTATATGTTATCCACTTAACCAGTTCTCAATATGAAGACTTTTCTTCTTTTTACAACTGCTTATACTACATTGGTAAATGGTTTCTTTTCAAATATATAATTGCGTTTTATGCCCATTTTAAAAAAATTCTTTATTTTGGTAAAATATTTTTTCATCTAAAAAAAACTAGAACTTCCTTTTCAGTTGACATTAGATTGAAAAACAGTAAGCATGATAAATATTTGCAATAAAAAACTGCTACTATATAAAGCAATAATTTTCACTAGCCAAAGAAACATGAACTATAAACACAAATAAAAATCTATTATATTTTAAAATCAAGGTAGAAGAAATGCATATGCACAGATTGGTAACACTATACATTTTAAAACTGAAGGTAGGAAAAATGCATAAGCACAGATTGGTAACCATTGAACAATTACTATATTTTAAAACTGAAGGTAGAAGAAATGCATATGTGCAGATTGATAACCATTGAAAAATTTCTATATTTTGAAACTAAAAATTTTTACTAGCTGAAGAAACATGAACTACGAGCATGAGCAAAAAATTATTGTATTTTAAAGGCGATGCTAGAACACATATGCTTGGCTCGGTAACCATAAAGCTCCTCTGCCAATTCAACATTCTTACCAAGGCCATTGCAGAAGATAAGTACCCATATTTTTAATGCAATGATTAAAAAATGTATGTTGAAATTATTTTAATGTAGATTTCATAGTTTAAGGAAACTTGAGGGAAAAAAAAACAAAAACACATGGAGATTATTCTTTAATTTATAAATTATTTATTAATATCGATCATTATGTTTTCAGGTATTTTCTTATTATTACAACCCTTGTTATTTAAACAGCACCTAAATTATTGACAGATTGGCAATACAGCTGATAGTCCTAACCATGCTCACTTATATTCCTATTGTCATATAAAGTGTTCTAAGTAGGCTATGTGTGACAATTCTATTTCCATCCTTTTCCCAAAAAATAATAACAATTTTTGGTTTATGAAGCAGTGAGGAATATACTAGGGATTGCCAATTGACGAATGATTACACCATGATGATCTATTGATAATATACTCACGTTTGTGAAAATTGCAACACCAAGAAGGAATCGTCATAATTGAATACAATTTAATACACAGTTGAGTGGTAGTGGTACAAATAAATGATTAAATGTTCAAAGCAAACAAACAAGAACAAGAGATCAGAATCAGTATTTTGTGTGGCCACCACGCGCCGCAATAAGTGCTGCTACACGACGTGGCATGGAGTCAAACAAAGTTTGAATGTCTGACTAAGGAAGAGCATTCCATATCGTTTGTACGCGTACCCAAAGTTCGTCTGCAGACGCAACAGGACGAGGATCACGAGCAAGACGCCGACCAATGACATCCCACACATGTTCAATTGGCGACATATCCGGGGAACACGCAGGCCAAGGAAGAAGCTGTACCTGCTGTGCTGCAAAGAAGGATTTAACAATCTGAGCAGTATGAGGGCGGGCATTGTCCTGTTGAAATACAGCGCCTGGCAAGCTTTGAAGGAAGGGAACAGCTTCGGGCTGTAGAACTTCACGGATATACCGGTTGCTGTTCAGATTGCCCACAATTCGTAGCAATTGAGATCATCTATGATATGCTATGGTGCCCCAGACCATAACTCCGGGTGTCCGTCCACTGTGGCGTTCGATAATGCACTCCGGAAGGTGGCATTCACCGGCATAGCGTCTGACACGAATGCGGCCATCATGGTACCACAAATTAAAGCGGGATTCGTCAGAAAACACGACATGCTGCCAATCAGCACGCCAGTCTCTATGCTGATTGGCCCATTGTAGCCGCAGGCGGCGATGGTCGTGCGTTAGGGGGATCCTGTTAAAGGAGTCCGTGCGCGCAGTCCACACTGCAGCAGACGTCTATGAATTGATGAAGCACACAATGAAACACCTGTAGCTATTGACCACAGTGCTGCCAATTGTCTAGAGGAAGCTGTACGGTCCGTCTGCGCCATGCGGACCAGGTGTCTATCATCGCGAGCTGACGTCACATTTTGGGGTCCACTCCCGGATTTCCGAGTTGTCCGACACTCGTCCGTCCACTGCTTCCAAACGCGCATCACTGTGCTGCTGTTACGCTGCACACGAGAGGCACACTTTGCATTTTCTTCACGATACGACAATCCAGCTTCACGAAGGCCGATGATTCTCCCTCGTTCAAACTCTGTAAGTTGTTCAAATCTCGCTCTCTTTCGTCGACGAGGCATAAGTACAGATTGAGTTAACGTTTACCACTAGCAGATAACCACCGATAACCATACACGCCTCGCTACAGCCGTCTATTTATTCGGATCCATCAGCCGTTCAGAGGGCGCTGCTCAGCATACGCATGCGCTACGGATTTGCAATTCTAATCATTTGCATATCATGCGCTACTTTGCATTTCCTGAAAATTTCAGCTCACTCGCGTAAGTCCTTCATGGTGTTGCAATTTTCACAAACGTGAGTGTATTTGCACCATTTAAATAACGGAGGGAATAATAATAAAGATGTATGTTTTTTTTATATAAGGAATTAAAATTATTTTTACCTGAACCATTCTGCTCGTGAAACATCAGATTGATTAAAACGCCTTTGATTGTTCCTGTACCATTCATCAATACTGAATATTTGAGGAGTTGATGTATTCATTGCTGATTAGCTATTTAAAAAAACATTGCAGATAAGGTAACAAGTAATCTACATCAACATTATTTTATAAATCAAAGACCAGAATTTTAATATTTATATGTTGCAAATACTAACAGGTATATCAGTTAAAGCTATTTTAAAATTTAACACAAACAGAAATTTTTTAATAATAGCTTTAAACTAATACATATTAAATAGATATCCACTGCACATTTTTTATGCATTCAACACTTCATTTTATTATTTTATTATTACAATGTTTTTAACACTTGTTAATATATTTCAATAATATATTCATACTAACTCACATAAGGCACTAAAATATTGTAAAAATTATGCATATTATATTAAATATCTAATCACATATGATTATACAGAAAGAGCATTACATGCTATATGTAATGCTCTTTCTTTTATATTACTATAAAACATGAGTAATAATTTAAATAAAATATGAACAAATAGGAATAAATAATGGCAAACATTTTTAAAAACCTAATTTATTAATTTACATCTAAAGTGAAAAAAAAAAAGTGTTTTTTGTTTCTAATAATTTGAATGCAAATTACTAACAAACTTGATTTTCGACTAATCATAACATAAAAATAGAGATATGTTTTTAGGCTATACTGCAGTTCTTTTTGCAAATTTTCTATTTAAAACTAAGTAAGTCAGTACATAATAATGCACACAGTATTATACATTCTTTATTAATAATATAAAACACTTGCCAATTTCATACCTTTTAAAAACTAGATCGAAAAACTTCCAAAAAATATTTTATAAAACTTAATTTACCGACGACTTGAACAATTATTTATTAATTGTTTGATTAGTCATTATTTAAATTTTATTTAGAATTTGTAAGGGAAAGAATATCTTCAGTCAGATACCAAATACAACTTTTCAAGCTGGTTTAAATATCCACCAGTGCTGTAATGATGATATCACTGACAAGCATGTTCTTTTCTGTTGCTATGGTAACAAATAAATTCCATGTTCCACAGCTTATGTTCTTTGTTGTCGGACAAGATCAACGTGCAGCCTTAATTGGAATTTTCTGTGGGAACAGAAATACATTTTTCTAATCCTAATAGATCACAGCACGCTTACCTTTCCTTTACATTTACAATCTGTACTGTGCCCCAATATTGCTTTCCTTATTGTCGAACAGGTATTTCTCTAAAGGATAAAATCGGCGATGTACTATCGATTTTTAGCTTATTTTCTTTTAATACTTTGTAAAAATCAAATATTATCACACGTACGTTAATGTTGTATTAACAATATTGTTTAGCAATTATTATATAATTCATATTTTTGTAATTCTACCAGCAGATGATAGTGCACTCAACGCCTTATTTGTGAAAACTGTATGTAGAGAAGTCTTCGTGACTTTCAGTGACTTTCGTTGAAGTCTGTTGAAGATAAAATTAATTTTTAGTAAAATTATTTCTGGAAGGTAATTTTGATATTATTGTTATTCTTGTAAGATTTAATTACGCAAAAAATGTGTGCTATAAACGTGTCATATAAAAGTAGTCTCAGGGTATAAATAGTCCGTTGTTTATTTTCCTGATAATATATATTTAATACATTTTGTCTCATTCTCTAAAAGCACAACATTCTTTATACGGTGTGGTTCGTCTATAAATGTGTAGTCCTTCAGTTGTGTATATATGAATTTTACTAGAAACCTGTTTTTGACAACTCCATTGCCTAACCTTGTTTTAAATAACCTTGATTAATTATTTTAGTAAACTTGCCTTGTGTTTGCGCAAGATGTTGCTTTCTTTTAGTGCAATAGTGTAGTTCATATTGAGAAAAACCTGATTCTTTTTTTTTAAATCTTCTCGAGTAAAAAGGTCGGGCTTTCATGAAAATATTTATTTCTACTGAGATTATATGGTGAATTGGAGATAGATTTGTGGTGAGTTCTTTGGAAGTAAAATTGCATATAATCAGACTCAAGTGAATATGTCTTTATTTTATGTGTAATCCCTATAATTATATCTAAGTTATGTACGGTTTTTTAAACTTATTCGAATAATTACATATTAAAGCAAAAGATCTTTCTTGAATTTAATTTGCAGTTCATGATTTTTGTTTTAGCTAAATTTCTAAGATAAGATCAATTATTGTAGCAGACTTCAATTCTAATTAATTTAAGTTTTGACTATTTATGGAAGTTACACAGTATTCTGTAATGTATTTGAGAAGTTAAGCAATATTTAAGAAATAGGCAGACTCCATAGACTGCTATAGAACTCGTGTATGCTTTTTTAAGGCTTTTGCTAATTATTAACATATGCAGATATTTTTTTAGATATGTATATTGAACTTAGGTAACTTGTGTTTTTTACGTCTTTTATTTAAAACTGCCCATGGTGCAAATGCTATTTATTTCTACCTGTAAAATTGCAATTTCATTATCAAGAATTACTATCTCCTGGTTAATTTCAAACTTTACATCATTTATTCCTGGAATAAAAAATTAAATTTTCTTCAATATTAGCGTAACTAGTACCTTCCCCTTTTTCGATTTGGAAGTGCATAAATTGCCATTCAATTTGCAGTGTTACTTCTTGCCAAAGTAATTATGAATCAAATTTAATGATTAAAACCGAATTGCAACAGAAAATAGAAGGATTATAACACTTTTGAAAATTCTGTATTTTTTAAAATTACTATTTTCAGTTAAATATTTTTATATTTAATGATTTTTTACAGTTCATTTTAAAGGTACTGGCTGCCCTTACTAGCATTTCAGGATGAAAATTCTTTGAAGAATCCTAATAGTACCTCTTAAATCCATTTTTTAATCTTTCTTTTGGAAAGGAATTTTTAAATGAATTTAAAAAATTTAAACTTGTTTTTGAATGTGTTTTGAACTTCTGGTTATCTATGATACAAGGATGCACATAAATGATCCAGAAATGTCCTAGAATACTGTATAATAAATAACTACCTAATTTAAGAAGCTAGATTAGGCTTTACTGAACTGATAATAAAGCTTAGATCTGGAAAAATTACCCCTTCCCATCATATGACATTCTCTTGGATATCATGGCAAACATTCCAGTCATAAGACGTGGTTGAATTCATATTTTATTTGTTGACTCTCTTAGTTTAACTTTTTGCACATTTCAATATTCCATTATAGTTGATCTTTGCTGTTTCACCTTCATCTTCACTTTTACTACTTTTTTTGTCTTTTTAATCATGCCGTGTATTATTCAAACCAGAATAACTTGATGTCATAAATTTTCACTAGTTTTCTTCGAGATCTTGTCTATTTACATTTTCATTTAAGGAGAACTTTCCTGTTGTACAATATTAAAGATGACTTTTGTGGAGATTTTGAACTTCATTCCAAGCTTTACTGAAGAGATTCTTTTTACAAAGGATTTTGAGTTTCTTTATTGCATTTCTAAAACTCCATAGGTAACAAAAGTCTTGGAAGTTCGTTCCAAAATTTTCTGAGAAAATCACAAAATGGATAATTATACAGGTACTTCTTTGTTATAGTGGCCCTGAGATTGAATTGCTAATTGATATTAGCAGAATATAATCTGTCAGATATCTGGCCACGTGTTCTTATATTAGCATTGTGTTGAATTTTTGCTCTCAGCATGTGTTCTTCTGTTAGCATCATGTTCGTTTTCACTGAGGTTTTTTTTTTTTTAATTTGCATTGGTTAAAAAAAAAAAAAAAAAAAAAAAAAAAAAAGTCTTTAGTTTATCAAATGACAAAGTAACAAGTCAAAGAATTGCACAAACCTCGGTATCCATGTACACATTCAACTATTTTCACTTAAAAAAAATCACGGAATTGCACAGACTAGGCATTGTGCATTTCTTTGACTTTATCCATGTACACGTCAACCTATTTTCACTTTAAAAGACATCAGAGAATTGCACAAACTTGGCATTGTGCACTCCTTTGACTTGGCAATAAATGAAACAACTTTGCGATAATACAAGGCGTACCCTTCAGTCTACTCTAACCAAAAGGTCTCCATCTTAGAAATTGGTTTAGTGGTTCCAGAATATCATTTATCACTGCTATTAGATTTGTGCATTCATGGGCTGACGAACTGATATCTATCAAATAGTTTGGCAAATAGCATACTATGTGCAAAAATGCTGCAATGGATTGGAACAATTACACGAGATATGTGTGTTCCTTACATCTGATGCAAATATTCAATGGGTAAATTGTATTATAAAACAATGGGGCATGGCTCCAGATTCATATTATATGGAATTTATGTGAAGAAAGTACATGCGAAAAAATGTTGCGGGAAAAATATATTTCAGGGTATCTCTTAACGAAAATTGGGGATTTTTTTTTTTTTTTTTTTTTTTTTTTTTTTTTTGCACCATTCCCTTCCAAGTAAAATAGCATCCAAAACATATTTAAAACATTAAAAAATTATAATCTCAATAAACTGCATTTTAAATCAAAATGAAAGAAGGGAATAACATAAAAATGGAAGTATATGTTATCTAATCTGCACAATACAAAAAGCAAATATCAACTTGCCTTATTTAGAAATTTCCATCTTCAGTGTGTGGTACACAGAATTGCTTAACAGTATCCAACAGCTGTTAGGCCTGTATCACATGATGTTTTTTTCATGCAAATAACTGTTTCGAACAATATTTGTGCCTGGTTTACTATTGAAAGAAAGACGTGCTACTTTTTCCTTCCTTTCCAAAAAAATTGCAAGTTGTTCAGTTTCAACCAATCAGCTATCAGCTTCGAATGCCATCAGCTTGTTTGTAATGGCAAACCAGTTTTCCTTGTGTTACCCCAAAGCGATCTATGGTGATTGGCTGTCGTGACAAAGCAGAAAAATTGTTCCAAACAGTTGCTCTTCTGAAACAAACCGACGTGTGATAGCAGCCTTAGAATCTATATACTGCCGTCGCCACATAAATTCACAAAAGTAAAAATCAGTGATATCCTCCTTACTACCAGAGGCATTTCTTCAAAAAATCCCTTTTTATTACACCCCACGTACTGTCTCTGTCTAGGGAAGAACAGCTTCCACAGTGTCTGGCGGTTGGCAGTTGCTATAGCAACAGAGCTAGTGTATTTCATATAGGGCCCGAACAAGGGTTGCTTTATTGTTATTTTGTTTTTGCTCACTGTTAGCTGAGAGGTAAACTGAAAAGTAAATCTTCAAGACACCCCTACGAAAAATGGATCAAGGCTCGTTTCTGTGGCAACAGACAGCTGCAGACTAACTAGTGAGAGCTTTTCTTATCCTAGACTGTTTGTACCTTCCATAGTGTTGATATGAGCATCAGTTTCCGAATCTTTAAATGTCACCGTAATTTACTGAGAGGTGATCGAAGCTATTTAAATCTTCATTTACAGTATTTCTTTTTAATTTAAAATGAACTGTTAATAATGAAATTGTTTTATTTTTAAATAAATACTATTGTTACAAGTTTAAATCTCTTAGAACATTTTTTTTAAATGAATTCATTATGACAATAAATGATCATATCTCTTTAGCTCTAAAATGTTTGCCTATTCTGAAATTACAGTTGTATATATATATTTCAGAAATGGCTGGTGGTGGTGCTGGGCCAAGTGAAGCACAATTCAAAGGATGGCAGAAATACTTTAATACCTACACCATTCGTGGAAGATCAAATGTATGTATACTGTGAAAATTTTATTTATCAGTTGTGAGAGTTAATGAAACTTATCCAACTTTCTTTGAGGAAAAGAATCTGGAATGTTTATTAGTTTGTTAAGAAATAATTGCTATACATTTTTATTCTATGATAATAAATTAAATTCCTGATTAACTGGCCTCTGTGGATTAGATTTTGGGCCAGACAAACATTGGCTGATTAATCTGGGGGAGGGGGATCACAAAATAATAATTATAGGTTACAAATAAAGTTACAAAAAATTGTACTGTTATTCCTGGGATTGTGGAAGGTACACGGTGAAATAATAAATCCTACTATAACTTTTCTCTTCCAAACTATGAATAATCATTTTGATAACATTAAATGTAATAACACATATGCATAATTTTTACACTATATAAAATATTTTAATTAATCTAAATTTTCTAAGGAGGCCACCAATTAATGATCATACATTAAATTTTTGATCAACTGAAATAGCATAAAAATAAATAGAACTTGAAAATGAGATTCCTAATTTAAAATGAAATTACTGAATCTAAAATTAAAGTGAAATTTTAATCATATGAATACATGTATATATATATGACTGATAATGAAACATCGGTCAATCAATTTGTTAATGAAAACAAAACCATAATCACATCTTAAAGCAGCCAAATTTTAACTTAAAGTCAACAACATAAAATATAATTACAGTCGAATTATATTCAAATGTTTATAAAGTGTGCCAGATAAATGGTCCAAAAAAATAATTCAGAATTCGTTCTTTGAGGATTGTATTCATGTCAAGACATTGTACTTGCTGTTCCAGCTATAAGAACTGTAGAATTCCTACCTCCCTCCACAAAAAGGTATAGTTCTGCTAAACCTCCCAATATTTATTTAATCTCTGCTGATTTGGGCTAAAAACTGCTTTTTGTTGGCAAAAAAAGGCACTGAGGAGAAACTCTCTTCATTTACAGAAGCTTATGAAACCATTTAAAAAGGTATTTCAAGTAAAAACCAATAGTTTGATTATTTTTAAAAATGTGTGCAATAATTGTAAACATTAAATGTTCTGATAAATACTTTGATAAGGTGTAATAAATATTTCATTATTGTTTTCCTGAATAACTAACTCAAAACTTTGGAGTATATCTTATAGTAATGTTTTTAGATTCTTAAATATATAAGCAAATTATGTGTTTTATTTATATTTCAATAATTTGAAATACATTAAAAGTTTTATTAGTTATATGTATTCATATATCAGTTTTATTAATGTTCAAATCAATTTCTTTTAAAATATGGAAATAATTGCTATATACGAGGGCTATCAGAAAGTAGATTACGTTTTGGAATAAAAAAATAAACAAAGTATAGGAAACAAATTTTATTATATACAGATGAAAGCCACACTCAAATACTACTTTTCTACATAGTCACCATACAAATTAAGGCATTTATCGTAGCGATGTACGAGCTTGGAAATTCCTTCGTCGAAAAATTCGGCCGCCTGCGCCTTCAACCACTTCGTTACCTCTCTTGCCTTCCATCTTGCACAAAACTTGTGGTAACCAAGCTTTTCGCTGATGATTTCGTGCAACAAACTTCGCGAAATTTGTGGAAACTCAAAGAAGTTCCGTTATTGTGAAATTTCGATTTCACGGACTTTAGCATCGACTTTTTCGAGAAGTTCGGCGGTTCACTATGCGGGTCTCCCCTTCGATCTTCGTCGTGAAATTGGTTCGGCCATTTTGAAATCTTATGACCCACTGACGCACCCACCTTCAGTGATAATGTTGTCCCCATACACTTCACGAAGCTGCCGATATTTCTATCGGTTTACAGTTTTTTGCAGTCAGAAACCTTATTACTGAGCGCACCTCGCAGCTCGCGGGTTTCAATTAACGCAACATTTCAAACCGTCACAGTATCTGAACGGAGCACAGCACGAACCTCTCACTAGCACGGCTAGAGCAGACTGAGCTGCGCAACGCTCTGACCCCAAAGGGCCGCGCTAGCCCCGCCCCTAGCGGACACAGACGGAAACGTAATCTACTTCCTGGATGGCCCTCGTATAAGCTATACAAAGGCAGAAATATATTCTTAAACATTAAAATTCAAAAGTTTTAAATTGTGCACTAAAACACCCTTCAGTTCAAAATAAGTTGATTTTATAGATGATTTAATATTTTTTGCATGTTACTCATTTAATATTTTATTGCAGATAACATTTGCCACATATGGTGCTCTAGCTCTGCTTGGTCTGTATATGTACCTGAAGCCAAAAAAGAAGCAATAAAGTTGAAATTCATTTAATTTCTATATTGTCACTAGTGTAATGAAATTAAAATGTCAAAACTGCAAGATTATGTCGAGTTGTAATAAAATGTAAACATACAATAGTATTTATTTCTGCTTGAACAAATGCCATTCTCAAAGTTTATTCAGTTTTTGTTGGAAATCAGCAATCACACTCAAACTGATTATGTAATCATTTTAAATTTACGTAGAATTTGATACACTCAGTGATTTTGTGTTCAGTTAGAGAGATATATTCTGTTTCAATTTAGATTTTCCATAGTTAATTTTTGTTTCCCATTTTTAAAATTAGTATTTATAGAACTTAAATATGTTCGTTTTGTTATATTACTTAGGGTGGGGAAAAAAAACTGTTCTTTGACAAGTATAGCAATCATGGAGGTAGGAAGTAAGATGGATTCGCCCTAAACAAGTTTCTCCCGTATCCTGCTCTGAAGCACCGGCGATCCTTACGTGGTGACCAAAACATTGGGTCATTTACCATTGAGTTCAATGGGATTTGACGCATTCGGATGTTAATATTTTGTAATTACGTCGTAAATATACATATAAATGTATATATTTTCTTTTTCTACAACACTTCAGAGTTCTAAGTATGTGAAAACAACATATTTTTAAACAACATTTCATTCTGAACGGAATTAAATGCTATACTTTTCACAGGACAGTTTTCTCAGAATGGTTTAATTTGAATGAAATATTTTTCACAAGTTTTCGTTAATTACATTAGAAAAAAAAAATTAAGGTAATTCGATTTTATTCGGTTAAGGTACAAAAATTAAGATCAAAGTTTATGTATTATTAATATTAAAATTATGTATTATTTCTTTTCTATTTATAGAGCTTCTTCCTAAAATACTTTCTTAAATATGACATGATTTTTTGGCTTCTGAGGCATCTTTTAAGTCGAAAAATGTAAGTCAATTTATAATTAATGCTCTGTTCGGTTCATTTTAAATTAGAGAATTATTAGGAATTAGCAAAATACTTTAAATAGTACTTGACTTTCTCTGAACATTTCTGAAAGGGAATAAAATAAGTTTTTTTTTTTTTTTTTAAGTATTATTTAAACCTTGTAACTGAGTTATTATAAAATGTAAGGGGAATAATTCTTTTAATTATACTTATCATATTTTTTTTTACTCTTCATTTCAACAATACATAATCCAAAACTCTTTATTACGTTCTTAAGTGCGCATCTCATAGCATTTGCTTTACAATACCTTTTAACAGATTGCTTTCCAATACGAACAATTCTTGCTTAAATAGTTTTATAACGTATTTGTCAACAGAATTTCAATTTATGTTTACAATTCAATATTAAGGTTATTATATATTTAGATAACATTTATAATTATTATAAATTAGATACATTTAATAATTAGATTTCTTCACAGTTGTTTATAAGTGAATAAATTCATTTCAAATACATTTATAAATAATTTAATGAATATTTATGTATTTTGTCAAAGGCAGATACATGGTTTTTGCAATAATATGCAACAATATATGGATGTGAAAAAAATTTGTTATATCAAATACAAGTTGCTATTATCCATCACACTATGAATGTTTCTTTCATGTGAAAGTGTCCCTTTTTCGATTTGTATGGAACTGTCATGTGTCGAAATACTATCAGAATCCTGTCAAGCGAGCTTCTGAATGTAAACAAAGAACACCCCATCTGGTGACCCAAGCTTCAAAGCAGTGTTTCACTTCTAGTGTCGATTGGCCTCTCCTTCCTTTCCTACCTCCATGATAGCAATAGACTTCTTGCTTTAACTCAGAGTTCTTCACACATTTAACTGCCAAATTTTTGTAGTTCATGAATCTTTTAAATAAATCATTATCGAAATGTGTCTGATTTTAAAGAAGTTTTTGTATATTATTGAAAACATAGCAGCATTTGTCTGTTTTGTATTATTTTTTTTATTTATTTGGTACTTATTTATTTTTTTATATTTTGATTAATCTTTAATTTTATGGCCACATATTATATTTATATATGTTTTGTTACTACTATAATGCTTGTAATTTTAATTGTAAAAATAGTTTAAGAACCAGAACTGTAGGCTGTTGATACTATCAAGCCTTGAATATATCTGGCAGTTTCTAGCCATTTTAGGAGAAACTGCAGATCATAGGATTTTATTTTTACCTAGAATATTTTGCTGATTCTCTTCCCTTTTTGGCAGTAATATGCTGGAAGGTGCTATGACTCAGTTCAAAATTACCTGCCTGAGGATTAAAAAATTATTGCCTGAGATTAATGTGTTATGTTTATTCCTTAGTAATTTCAGCCTTTGGTTTGCATGCAATTTAGAAATTCTATTACATGTTTACACTTTGATTGTTGATAGTTGATTTTCAATCATGATAGTCTGCATTTTTAGGCCTGAAATGGAATATTTGTTCTTGCATTAAGAATAATTTACAGCTGTCTCTTTTTCCTCCTTGAGTTACATTTAACTAATCAGCTTGATTTGTAAACAATATCATTTGGAGCTGCAATGAAGAATCAAGTTTTTCTGTTCATCCATCCTATTTATTTAAGAGATCTTTATGAAAATATAACAACTGGTATCCAAAATGAAATAAATGACTAGCAGTTATCAAAGAAACAATTTTCAAAGTTAAGCAATGGAGAAGTCATTGTCAGTGAAGAAATCAATAATGAAGCCTCTGTTATTCTAAAAATCTCTTTTTGACAAGGGTTGGAAATGTCCAAAATATCCTGAAATATTTCATTATTTCCTCTTATGTTGTCTAAAAACAATGCAGTTTGTTCCGTCATGAATGTGTTTGAATGTTTTGTTAAATTATTCTTTAGAAATTTATTGAGTTTAAAAATAGACTTTTCCATTTGCTGGGGTCAAAATGATTTTGTGATGCTTAGCAGATAGATATGGGTTAAGTTGTCAAATAAGACATCATTATTAAACAAAATAACATTGTATTTCATATTTAATCGATAGTAATCTATTTCTAGCTCTATGAAACAGCATTCTGATTGAAATCCTCAAATATAGATGTATCTAATCCCTTTTGTACAGGTTAATGTGAATGTTTTATATGAACGATTAAAGCATGAGAGAAAAATGTGTTTATTAATTTCTTGGCAAACACTAAAATATCCATTTCTAAAGGAGAAATGGCTAGCTTAATTTCTTTTTTCAGCTTTTGTCAACTTCTATGATCGGATTTCGACTGTTATTTGTGAAATTTCTCCTTTGGTATTATATAAACTTCATAGTTCTTTCAGTATATTGTGATGCAATTTGACATATCATGACTATTTTTCCCATGTATTTTATCCTGAGGATATTAAGATGGTGATTTTTCATTTCTCACTAGTACTGGTAAATATGAGCACATAAATAATTTTTTCCGAACTACACAGTCTACCTAAAATGTTTTAGGACTGAGCTCATTAAAAATAAATGTAGTAAAAAGTTTTTAGCATGTTGGAAGTCCTCAGCTGGAGTGGAGTGCCTATCAGCTTCTTTGTAATGTTTGTTGGATTGTGTTGATAACGTCAAAGCGATGTTCTTTCAACTTTAGTAACCAAAAAGTAATCTGGTAGTGATGTTCTGGCGAATAGGGTATTACATTTTTGTTGCTAAAAATGCATGAATAATAGCTGAATTGCGGTATAGTGCATTATTGTGTAGCAAAATTTCGGATGCTCCACACGTGATGCATTTCAGTACCGATCCAATACACCCATGTAAAACAACGCATTCACTGTTTTTCTTTGAGGAATGATTTCCTGGTGAATCAATCCTGTGAAGTCCAGAAAAAAAAAAAAAAGTTATCATTGTCTTTATCCTGAATTTTTGGAAATGCAGCTTCTTTGGCTTTGGGAAATTTTGGCCAACCCACTCTGTTTCTTCATTTCTGCATCATAGGCAAAGCACCATGTTTCATCACCTGTAATGACTTTTTAAAACGTCTGGATCATGATTTTGTGTGTCAAGAAGATCCTGACAAGCCACCATTTGATCATTTTTGTATTCTGTTAATGAATGTGGAACAAAATTGTCACACAAGAAAATTGAGGAATATTTCCTTTTTCTTAAATCCTCACTAGTTATTGTACAGTTTCTTTATCAGTATTTAAATGTAAATGTTCTGCAAGCATTCTAATCATTAATCGGCAATCTTGATATAACATTAGCACAGACAGCTTCGATGTTCGGCTTGCGTGATAATTTTCTGTTTTCCTCCTGATCTCTACTGTCTCAAAATCTGCTAAACCTCAAAAACGTGTTCAAATGCGGCAAACACTCTTCTCCATAAGCATTCTGTATCATTTGATAGATTTCACTAGCAGTTTTTCCTCTTACAAAACTTTAGAGCACATCTCTATTCCAAATACGATTCCAGTACAAACATAAATAACATTCAAACATCAAATGATAAATTTTCTCCTTAACTCATGCAATTAGCAGATTAGAATCAAAATGTTTTTTACTACAGATTTCTGTTTGTTGCAAACAAATAGCACTATTCAGCTGGTTAATATTTCAATAAATCTTAAAATGTTTAGCTAGACCTTGTATGTGGATAAGTATGGAAAAATATTGTATACACTGAGAATAATGAATCACTTTCTGAGTTCAACAAATTGAAATTTTTTTTAAAGAAATTTCTTTACCTTTTGGATGTAAGAGAGCAAGAAAAATATTATTGAAACTAAATAGCAACAAAATAAAAATACTTATACAGATGTTGACCAGATGGACAGGGAAAGAATTGCTGATATTTTTATTTCAAGATATGGCCCACAATAGACTTTTTTAATGCTTTCTTAATCATTTTCTTAATTTCTTTATCTTTTGGATATAAGACAGCAAGAAAAACATTATTGAAACTAAAAAGCAGCAAAATAAAAATGTTATGTTTTTCTTACAAAATGTACAGGCGTGGTAAGATGGCTTCCCCGCAAAGCAGTTTTAGGGTTGCCATAAAATGGACTTTTTACTAGCCTATGTGTTTTTTCTTTTGCCTTTAATTTGTACCTTGATAAAATATTTTTTATTTTAGAAATTGTTATATTGTCATTTTTAAACATTTCATTGAGAAATCTTATTAAACATCTATTTTTAATAGTTGCTATTTATGAAAATTACTTATTCTGCTATCAGGAAACTTTTTTAAAAATGTAACTACAGCAAGATCAGAGGCATCTAATGGCAGATTGTCCTTCAGTAGAAGAGGCAGAAAGTAGGCATTTTGCATTGTTTCCACAGGAAAAAAAATTCTTCACTGCAATTTACCTCGTGGTTTTGTATATTGGCCATTCCACCACATAAAGTTGAAAAATGACAGTAACAAATGGTACACATAAGAAATGTATTACATTTTCTTTGCAAAACAATATAAGGAAATTAATCTGAAAATGTTTTTTGAAATGTAGATGATTATTTATTTCTATTTGCAGGCATAATTAAGATCACAAATCGTTAAACAGTTTCAATAAGCACATAAAACTTGCATTTTTAACAATTCCAAAAATTCAGAGATATATTTTGATCATGCTTTATGCTCAGTGGCTGATGTGTGCCAGATGACCTGCAGCTGCACTTGATGTCCACTGAAAAATATGTATATGAAGTTTTCAGACAAATCTACTTCCATATACATTTGATAAACCATTAAAAAAATGGGTAACCAAAAGGAAAAAAAAAATTAATACTGTAAAGTGTTTATTAGAGTGAAAATGGAATATTAAGCTGAGAAAATCCACACAACAAGGATTTGATTCTAAACCTGGATACTTCGGCTAGTAAAGGATTGGATTCTTTTTGAGATTCTGGTGCAAACAGTGGAACTGGCTTTCAAGAAATACCGAGGTGAACTGTATACATGATGCGACTGTCAAGTTCATAGAAACTGATAGTGAAGTTATGAAAACTGTTGATTTCGGCAAAGAAGTTCATCAAAGTCTTTGTTTCCTCTGCAGGCTGGTCACTGGCATTCACTCGCAAATCCCACTTCTGTCACCAGTTGTTGCAAATTGTATGGTGCATAGTTTTTGAAAGAATGGGAAAAAGCTACAAGATATTTGCTATCTTAAGTACCTTGTATTATAATGTTACATAATTGAGCACTTCACAGACTCTTGTAGAAACTCTTTCGCTATATTGCAATAAAACGAAGCAAAATATTTCCAAATCTCGCAAAGATATGATATATTCCAAAGAAATGCAAGGTTCTGTTTATGAATGAAGTTATCCCGAATTCTGAAGCTGCAAGAATGAAAAGGGACTGATTGGGAAAACTGAATCCTTAACACAAAACTTTGGAAGTTATAAGTAGTTAAATCTCCACATACATCAAACTTGACAGCTCATTCACCCTTTCAGAAAAAAAGGAAAAATATGGAAAAGAGGGGGAAAGAATATGATCACTAAACTGAACATCCTTGTCCTTTCAGATGGGAAATGCTAAAGCCAATGTAACAACCATCCCATCTTCAAAGGGTAATGAAATAACTTCTGTATACAGTAATCCCTATTCACATGAACTCACTTAAGGTGAACACTTGATTAACATGAACAAAATTTTGGTCCCAGCAATGATGTATATGATCTTATAAGTAGTCATCAATTAATGTGAATTTCAATTAGCATGAATTGTGAACTGTTTTTCAGTCTGTTGCGTCATTAGATTTTCATTTTATACAAACTTTCAAAGCTTTTTAACTTGATCAACGCAAAAGTTCACTTTGCCCCCAAAATGCAACAAGTTGTCTTCAGCCTTTGGATCAAGGTGTTATTGCTCCTATGAAAAGATCTTATCGTGGGCAACTTGTAGGGACTGCATCTTACGCTGCTGAAAAGAAAACACAAATGCCATAATCCTAAAGAAATAAAGAACAGATCTTAACTACATTCTTTAACTAACCTCATTCCTTTCTAATAATTTTAGCTTCCAATTTTTATTTCTACTGCAGATAGAATGGAACAGCTGAGGTAATGACAGCACTATTTAAGAACGGACGTTGATGTACAGTTCATCACTCTAACTTTACTAGATCACTAGTTTCGGATGAATTATCATAGGTACAATGTAAGTGGCATACCAAACTTTAGTTTTCTTTCTATTATAGGTACAATGGAAATTCTGTATGCAAGTGAATCTGCAAATGCAAACTTTTGGCTTTTCTGTTTTTTAATAGGTATTATAGATCACGAGTTATGCTCGATCATAGGTAAACCCAATGGAACTTCCGTTTTGTTATAGATGAAGAAAACGTTTTTTTAACCCCTTAAGGCACACATTAATTTCTAATTTTCGGTCAAAAAATCACCTATTTTTTTTCTTGCATAATCATATTCTCTAGTGCATTTTAAGACATGATTGACAAATAAAAGTAATTTTTAACTAAAAATTTAATTAAAAAATCTTATTTTTAATTTTGGAATAATTTCACTTAAAGTTGTCTTTTGTTATGCTCCTTTGTATTAGAAAAGACAACATACAGGGGTACAAGTATAGGCTAATTAAAAATATATATATATTATACAAACAAAGTGAAAACGATTTGATTACATGTGTTTATTTTGAATTTCAAAGTTATTAAAATCAAATTGTCATACTTGCAAGCATAAGAATTGACTAAAAATTCAGTTTGGTATGATATACCATGAAGCATGGTACTGCGCAAAGTCCAACATTACAGTTCCTACGATAGTATCTTGTTTCTTTCCTTATCTTTTTAACCCTCTCATCTATTTTACTGCAACAAACGGCGCAATTTCTACAAGGGGCTGCTTTCTTTTCTGTAGGTGGTACAAATTCGGAAAAGTGCCTTTCAGTTAGTCTCAGAGGCCCAGGTTGGTAACCAGGCCGACCTGTTCTTTTGGGTAACACTTTTGAATGGTATTTTTCAATTAATTTTTCCACAAGCATTTTACGGAATTCCAAATGGTCCCGTTTTCCTCCATTTTTTTGATATAGTACAAATGAATTCCATACGGATATATCCACAAGATGGAAAAATATTTTCTTATAGTACCTTTTTCCTCGTTTTCTTGTTGTTGGGTAATCGTGGAGATGCTGATCAAGCCGATCAACGCCTCCCATTGTATCGTTGTAATCAATTACAACTTTCGGCTTCTTTATTTGAGTACCATTCATTGGCTGTTTTACTTGTATTTTCCTGCTGTGTGCATTATGGATTGTTGAAAGCAAACAGACATCTCTTTTTTGTCTTTCCACTTCATCACCATTACTTTCCCTCTTCTGAGAAACGCTATAACATCTCCCTTTTTCAATTTTTTATTTCTAATTTCAGATGGAACTTCTTTTTCTGGTACTTTTCAGAGTCCGTAGGTATCTGTTTGATGTTTTACTAGGAAATCCGCTAATTGTGGAGAAGTATAAAAGTTTGTCAGTCGTCAAACAGTACCCTTTATCTAATAATGGTTCAATCAGTGACAACACTCACTTGAGTTGATACCGGCATTTCTCGATATGCATCGCTCATATTCGTTCCTTTTCCTGGTATATATAATGGATGAATATAAGTAACCGGTTTTTGATTTTCACAAAAAGGTACATCTTTATTCCGAAACGAGCTCATTTCAGTGGTATATATTGCTTCCAATTTCATTCGCCCTTTATACAGTAGTAGACTTTCGTCTATTGCAATATCTCTTTCCGGTGTATATACAGAGAAAGAACACTTTTTATTTATATGGTCAAATACAGGCCATATCTTATTGAGCTTGGGATGGGGGTGAATCTCAGCATCGTAAGTTTCATTGTTAGAGAAGTGAAGATATCTTTTTATCTCAGAATAGCGACGAAAGCTAAGGAGCTTCGGAAAAATAGGTGATTGAAAAATTTCAACTTTTGACCAATACATCCTTATCTCAGGCTTTCTAATTATACCTTGTAGTATAGTTATGGCTAAAAATATGTATAATTCTTCCATAGTAATCGGTGACCATAGGTTCTGTGATGATCCTGGATGTTGAAATGCATATCTGTTTGTTTCAGTTAGAATTATGTCCATGAGAGAGTTATCAAAAAATAATTCAAAGTATGACAAAGCATCATCGTAATCCGTCAGAGTAAAACAACAGCCAGGGTTAGCTTCAAATCGAAATCTCGGTGGTGCAACGTTTGGTTGATTTATACTAATTTGATACCAATTCCTTGCTATATCCAAAATCTCGTTGTCATTATCTTCCGATTCACTTCCATCACTCAAGAAATCATCACTCTCATCGCTGAAACTGTCTGATAAATTGGCATATTCAAAATTGTCATCGTCAGAGTCGCTCATTATCAGATAACTTTTTTAAATTACAAAAACACTTAGTAATATAATTTGCAGTTAACTGCTTACTTTTATTATATTTACGTAATAAAAATGGATATATTACCTTTTCCACACCAAACGACTACTTTATAGCAAAGAATTCCTAGCAAACTTATAGCTAATCATCAGAATGCGCCACGTGGTTTACACAAGAAAAATGCTGAATAATGGTGCCATCTATGTCAAATAAGTTTAATTATAATCTAGCCTATTTATTTTTACTGGAACGGATCTCAGACAAGCATTAGAAATAAAATAACGCGAGATACAAGGGCGCCCGTGTGAGACACAGGCATGTGGAAATTTGCCGGAAACTTTCGCCCGTGTGAGACACGGGCAAATGCGTTAAGGGGTTAAATGATAGTGCATATCACGCACAAACTTTTGTATATTTTCATTTTTTAATAAGTATCACAGTTCCCGAGATATTTTTGATCAAATATGTACTGAAAGTGGTAATCCCGTTCTATTATAAGTAAAACGATTATTCTTGCTGAAAATAAAAGGGCTCCTAAGTTCAACATTTCAGTTACTCACAATTGATTATAGTTGTAATAGATCCCGGGGTATCTTCAATCAAAAGTTACATGTGTTTAACATTAGGAGCATTAACACCTGTTCAAATACATGTAAAATCATAATTTTTTTAATGATAGGGAATTTCAGGTGTAATCTTTTGCCTGTTTTTGTTTTTTAATTAGTATCATAGTTCCTCTGATATCTTCAATCATAGGTACAGCAGAACCCTCATTTTTCATTTCTATTGCAGCTATCTGTAAGTGGGCTATGCAAATGACAGATCTCCACTGAGATGTGTCATTTGGGTATCCTCATTCCTTTGTACGAGGGCCATCCAGGAAGTAGATTACGTTTCCGTCTGTGTCCGCTAGGGGCGGGGCTAGCGCGGCCATCTTGGGGTCAGAGCGTTGCGCAGCTCAGTCTGCATCTAGCCGTGCTAGTGAGAGGTTCGTGCTGTGCTCCGTTCAGATACTGTGACGGTTTGAAATGTTTGCGTTAATTGAAAATCCCGCGAGGTGCGCTCAGTAATAAGGTTTCTGACTGCAAAAAACTGTAAACCGATAGAAATCTATCGGCAGCTTCGTGAAGTGTATGGGGACAACATTATCACTGAAGGTGGAGTGCGTCAGTGGGTCATAAGATTTCAAAATGGCCGAACCAATGTTCACGACGAAGATCGAAGTGGGAGACCCAGCATAGTGACCGCCGAACTTCTCGAAAAAGTCGATGCTAAAGTCCGTGAAAATCGAAATTTCACAATAACGGAACTTTCTTTGAGTTTTCCACAAATTTCGCGAAGTTTGTTGCACGAAATCATCAGCGAAAAGCTTGGTTACCACAAGTTTTGTGCAAGATGGATTCCAAAAATCTTGACAGAGGACCACAAAAATCAGCGAATGGCTGCAGCGTTGAACTTTTTGGACGCTTACCATAAGGATGGTGACTCTTTACTTGATCGCATCGCTCTCAAAGGTATTGCCAAACTCTCCAAAACCTCAGAAGAGCAATTCAAAACAAGCGCAGAGGAATGTTGAGCTCTAAGATCTTGTTGATTCACGACAACGCCCGGCCCCACACGGCAAATGTCACTCGTAAAGTTCTTGAATCTTTTAAGTGGGAGTTGTTTCCTCATCCGCCGTACAGTCCCGACCTGGCACCGAGCGACTTCCACCTATTCCCAGCAATGAAGAAGTGGCTGGCTATGCAGCGTTTTGATGACGACGCACAGCTGCAAGAAGAGGTAACGAAGTGGTTGAAGGCGCAGGCGGCCGAATTTTTCGACGAAGGAATTTCCAAGCTCGTACATCGCTACGATAAATGCCTTAATTTGTATGGTGACTATGTAGAAAAGTAGTATTTGAGTGTAGCTTTCATCTGTATATAATAAAATTTGTTTCCTATACTTTATTTTTTTATTCCAAAACGTAATCTACTTTCTGGATAGCCCTCGTATCTATAATAGTTTCCCAGTTCTGTTTCTGTTGGAGTGAGCTTGATGCAATCAATCCTATCGCACCATTCTGGAAATCCAACACATTCAGAACTGTTTTGGCAGAGCATGGGAATGCTAATCCGGTTGATCAGTTAGATGATGACAATGATACCACTTCACCTGGTGAAAGGAAAATTCTACAAAATCCATTGCAAACCCTGGTGTTTGTGCTATAGAGTTTGTTAGCGCAGATGACAATGTTGCTGTGTGTGCTGTAGTAATTGTGTCCGAGGTCCAAGAAATGTTGTAAGGAGGAAGTAAAAGAACAATATCATTCTGTCTACCAGCCAGTAAGTTTCACATGCGTTGGACATTCTGGAACATTTTTTGCAACATCCAAATTGACCTAGTTTTACCGAAGGCACCAGTACAGTTGAATGTGAAGTTATCAGGCATTTTCATTCCCATCTGTGAAAGCACACTGTACAAAAATTTTTCACCAAAAATTTATCCGCGAGTTCATTTTTTCAAGCTACAATACAGTAATTAATGCAGCACTGTAGTGTTTTCTATGATGACATACATAATATACGTAGCACATATGTACCTATAATATACTGTAAATGGTTAATGTGTAGAAATACAGTTCCAAAAATAAAATTTGAGATTTCAGTTATCAACAGCTATCGATTTTCTGGTCCAATGGAATTCATGTTAATGAGGGTTTAATGTGCAAATTAACTGAATGCACATTCATAAAAACAAATGAATTACATGTATTTATTAAGAACAACATCTTTTACATTTATCATTAAACAACTAGAAATATGATTTAAGAAAGTTTTTCAATTATTGCCAGGAAGCATTTTCTCATATTTCTGAAAATAAGTAATCTTCGCCAGCCTAACATTTAATGACATATAGAATTTTCCATACATTCAAGTCATTCAAAATTAAGAAATGACCTAAATTTTTTTTTTAAGTACCTTGTATTCGTACTTATTTAAAACATGGGTAGTTTACATTAAAAAACTGTATAGCTTATACTGTATAGTATTAAAACATTTTTTAACATAAAACTCTTTTCCATGAAATGAGTGTGTGTGGGGGGAAGTCAGGATTATTTTTGCGTCACTCGAAAATAAGACCTCCTTTCACTACATTTTTATTTTTAAAATTTGGTACGGTCTTATAAATTGGTAGTTTGAGAAATGAAATAAAATAATAAGAGGACAGACTTTCATGCTCTATACACCATTTATATTTTAAATAAGACACACAGGTAATTGGCATGGATATCAACTGTACAAGTATGATTAAATATATAGTAGTTGCACCTGGCTGTGCAATTCAATTTAGGCTTGTATCCACTATAAGCACATCTGAAAAATTCCTGCCAATATATCATTAACAGTCAATTTAGGCAACTGCTAATGGTACTTTTTTAAGGAAATTCTGCAGGAAAGGGAAAAATTTAAGATTTTCAGAAAAACTACAAGCTAAATTAATATCTACCTATACTTTTGTTTAAAATTTGTTCTAAAATGCAAAGTTAGGTAACAAGGAGAGAAAACATTTTAAGAGAAACTGGTTCATATCGAAGTAAGTTATATATGGAGGAAACCATAAAAACCAAACATGCAGTCAGGATCTTTACCAAGATTCAAACCCATGATGAACTATCTGTTTTCAGCAATTTACTGCTTGGCCATTAGAGGGCCTAAAATATAAGGAAGTTTTTATTTTTAAGCAAATATAGTACATAATATACAAGACATTGGGTGCAGAAAAATACCCCTTTGCCAATGTTATCTACTGGGTGTTCTTGTACTCCATCACCTGTTACAGCAGATGACTGGCCACTGGTCATTTGGAATATTAAAATTAAATTCTTCATTAAATGATTAAATCTGATCATTTCAAATGTCCTAAAATCCTCCCCTCACTCCTAACTTTTTGTCTAATGATGAAATTTCATCAGTTAATGAGACTGAAGAAGCTAGGGAAGAATTTTCTTGACATTATTCCTACTTTGTCTTTTCTGAGTAACAATCCCTAGCTGTAACATACTCATTTTATTTATTTAAGTAAATACAGATAAAAGATGAAGTTACTTATTTTACTTTTTTTTTTTTTTTTTTTTAAGTTTATATTATATGTGTTATGTTTTCAAATTTAATCTCTCACCATGTTAGACTACAAGAAAAATGAAATTTTGTATAATATCGCAATCAAACCATTGGCTTACAAGTACAAACCACAGATATATTACAAATACTTCTAGTTCCAGATACATTTTAGAGAACTTAAAAATTCTTAACATTATTACAGGTTTCAAATGAAAACAAGGGGAAAGGGGAGCCAAGCGTCAATTCAAGAGCTCACAACTGACTTGCAGCTCTTTAGTAACTTAGCTTGCATCTCTGTAATCAGCATTAAATTTTCAGTACTTCATTGCTGTTAGATGAGCAGAACAGCAATCAATAAGGATTTAAGGAGTTTCCTATATACACGCTACCAAAATAGGAACTGTTTCGAATGCAAGTAGAAGAGATCATAAGCCTATTAGGGACATTTATAGTTTGAAAAAGCCAATGCTTACAGCATTGATGGAATTAGCAGACTTGAAGCTCTTTCTTTATCCCTGCTGAAAAAAAGCAACAATAATGAACTGCTGGAAATGCAAGAGTGAAAGATATTTTTTCAACCCATTTTATAACATTTTTAATTTCTTTGTAATTTCAGTTAAAAGCAAGTGTAAGAAATAATTATACACTCATATTCATTTAGTGTATTCTTTAAGAAATCATAACATCTCTTAAGTGTCCTGCAGAATAATGCTGGCAACACAAAATGGCCATATTTTTACATTACTTTTATAAATGGTTTTTATTTTTAGGTCACTGCTGAGAGGTAGAATACTCATACTTTTGCATCATTAATACTTGTTAAAGGAAATCAAATTAGAATTGGATAATTTCTAATACTTTACAACACTGAATTTAAAACTGCTGAATTTTGCTTCTTCTGATAATGTAGAACTAATACCAAAATTTTTAACGAACTCAAAAGCTGTTGTTGCCATACTCATTTGTACACTTTTCTGTAGTAAATTCAATTCAATACATTAAAATTAAAGTGAGGATCACACAAGCCTTGAGACATATTTAAGAGTTGCAGGTTAACCCTTTCGCTGCATACATTTTTTTATCAAAATAGGTTCAAAAATTGCGTATATTTTTTATTACATATTTCAAATCTACATATATTTTAGAGTTAAAATATACAAAATTTTTTTTTGTAAAAGAGGTTTTTTTTTTTTTTTTTTTTTTTTCCCAATATAGAATTAGGTCATAGAAAAAGGTTGTCAGAATATTCAAATTGAAAAATAATGATATAAAAGAAAAACTTTCAAAATTAATATTGGTTAAATTATGATTTATTTTATAAAATACAAAGATAAAACATATATACTTATGAAAATATTTGCATATCAATTTTGCACCGCTGTTGAACGTTTTCAATAAAAACCAAATTTTGAGATTCATTATCTGCAGTTTTGCTATTACTATCTTCAACATACTTAATCAGGATCAGAACTACTATCAGTGTCGGAAATATCGTCAGGAATATAGGTTATATCACTCGCGAAACGCTTCCTGCCAGACATCTTTGAACTCTGAAAAGAGCGCTCAAAATGCTACATTACATATTCTTGTATATTTGGCAGAAATGTTGACAACTAACACCATCTGTTGGCCCACATCTAAATAAACAATTAAACATCACAGAAAAGCCGAAAGGAAACCTTTAAACGGGGAAAGAGTAGGTTGCGCAAATTTTGTTACTTCTATGTTGCCCATGGAAATTGTGGGATGCGCAGCGAGAGGGTTAAATCAAATTTAGTAATTAAATTAACCAATTCTGGTATCAGCTCTTTAATTAGGAAGTACTTCCTATTAATTAATTAGTAAAAATTTATCAAACTTTTATTTTTATACTGCCATTCGAAAATAAAAATTACAACCAAAGTGCAGAATGGGGGGGGGGACAATATGAGAAAAGGGAATTCTACTTCATTAATACAAAAAATAAATAAATAAATAAATAAATAAATAAATATAAATAAATAAAAATAAATAAATAATAAAAATAATCTTAAATGACATTTACATTTAATAAAATCAGTCAAGTTTTACAAGTAATTTTCATTTGCAGCATTATAAAGAAGGAGAAATTTTGCTAAATATAGGCAAAATAACTTGATTGTGCCTCTAATAGTGCAGATCAACTTCCTTTATGGCTGCCTTTAATTTTGTTCATTCTCCATTTCTTTCCAGTTATTTATAACTGTTTATTGCCCAGGCTGAAAAATATGCTAAGAACAAGAATTTAAACTGTTCAGAAATCTGGATTTTAAAAACAAAAAACAAACTAAATATTTATTTCTAAACACTTTATTTCTATACATTTCACAATCAACATGGGATATTAACACAATTTCTTGATTAAGTACATCTGATATAATAATATGCTATATGAGCATATTTTATTCTATCTTGTGTACCACTGAACATTTCTTGAATATATTAAATCTTTAATAACATCAATGTCTGATAATACACACCAAAATCAAATAAAAATATTTTAATATCCTGTATGAATAATATGGCTATTTCTTTTACGTCCATAAAGCAATTAAAATACCTAACATATTTCATAATTTGACAAATTTAACAATGTGCAGATTTGATTGCAATATAACAAGTCTTCAACTATTATATTTAAATTTAATGTACTAAAAATTTGACAATCAGTCTTTAAAAATTCACAAAAGAATATATATATATCCATTACTTCAAATTACAAAAAAGTTGTGATAATGATATGTCAACTAACAAGATAAAAGTAACGTAATGAAACTCATTAAACTGTTAAAACAACTTTATGAAAATATGAAATTTTGAATCATAAATTACCTTAAATATGAAAGGAATGAATAATTTTCCTTAAAAAACAATAAAAAACTGATACCACTCTCACATACAAGATATACAAAAAGTTCATTTAACTTTCAGACTAGAATGTTCTTTTATTAAGATTGGAATGGAACAGCACGCAAACCTAATAAAATAAAATGAAATTTAGAAATAGAAAAAATCAGATTACATCATACTTATTAAAAATTACACATTTCAATCAACAAATACAGAGGGAAAAAATTATGCACGAATAAGTTAAAACAAATCTCCTTTCTTAAAATAAACAAATACTAACCAGAAAAATAAATATCTTTATATTAAGCTTTGGAGGTGTCTCCTTTAGCACTATCTCTAGGATAAAATTCTTCTAATGTGCTTTGTGGAATTCGTTTAAGTAACTCTTTAGGGAATATTCTCAAAAGCTGCCAACCAATGTCTAAAGAGTCAAAAACTGTACGGTTTTCATAATTTCCTAAAAAGATAATAGATATTAGTGAAAAATTAATAATACAAATGATTCCAACAAATTTCATATCTGAAACTAAATATTTTACATGATATATTTTAGATCTACATATAGAATATGTTATAAATCAGTAATCTTCAAACTTTGTTGACTCGGGGAATCCATAAAACTATATTTTTTCTTATATGAAATGCCTACCATCCTTAGAAAAGTAAATGTTAATCAAGTATTCAAAATATTGTTTTGAAGGAGCATAACTCACATTTTTTTTGAGCCACCAGTGAGGACAGAGTCGGTCTTGAAAGCTGTGGATTCTAGTGGTTTAGTTAGCTTTGTTTGGGAATTTGAGGAATTTTGCAGGAAGTGAAGGTAGGCTTTGTTTTGATGTTTTGTTTGAAATTTGAATTGTTGTAAAATGTTGGAATTATCCAAGTTGAGAAAGAAGCGTAGCGCAGTTAGGTCTACGTTAACAAAGTTAAAGCTTTTATTAAGGAAGATTCTAGCGAGATAGATGTTACGAATAAGGTAGATACTTTAAAGGAATTTCAAGCCCAAATAATAGATAAGGAAACTAATTTAAAACGATTAAATGCTGAAGTGAAAAACCTTTGTAATTGTGATGATATAGAAAAGGAAATTACTGTGTCAGAGGAATATTCAGAAAAAATTATCCTCTGGAAACAAAAGATAACTAATGTAATTGATAGATTAATGAAAGATGAAATGAATATTAGTAACGTATCCTTTTCTATTCCCGCAACTGCTCAAGGTACACTAGAAAACCAAACCTTTAGAGAAACCAAAACTGTTAAAATTCCTAAACTGATAATCAGTAAATATTATGGTGATCCTGCTTCTTGGTTACAATTTTATAACCAGTTTGAAAGTGCTATTCATAATAACAGTAATCTTACAAAGATAGATAAATTTAATTATTTAAGGTCATATATATTTAGGGGGTACGGCATCTAATTGTATAAATGGTTTCGCATTAACAGAAGAAAATTATGATGCTGCTTTGGATATATTAAAAGGTAGATTTGGTAATAAGAATACTCTTATACAGACACATTTGAATGAGCTACTTAAAATTCCTATTATTAGAAGTATAAATGATTTAGCTGGATTGAGAAGGTTGTTTGACAAAGCTGATAATCAAATTAGAAGTTTAGAGTCGTTAGGAGTTGAAACAAAATGTTTCAGCACTTTATTGATTCCCATTTTGTTAGAAAGAATTCCAAAGGAACTTGTTTTAGAATTCAATAGAACGTATCCAGATAGTGATTGGAAATTTTAAGAATTTATTTACCTTTCTAGACAAAGAGATATGGTCTAGTGAAAGGACATATTTATTTAGTAGCAAAACTGAAAATTATCATAATTCAGGTAATGAATATAAAAGTAATTGTAGGAAATTTGAAAATAAAAAGCTTAATACTAATAGGAATATATCAACTGCTAGTTATACTACAAATGTTAAAAGAAACTGAATATTTTGTAATAGCAAAGAACATGAATGTTGCGAATTTGAAAGTGTCGCGGAAAGGAAAAATAGATTAAAAAGAGATAATCGATGTTTTCGCCATTTCTCAAAATTCCATTTAGCGCGATTGTGTAAAACTAAACTTGACCCATGCAAGACCTGTAATATAGCTCACCATTCCTTGCTATGTGAAAACAGTAATAAACCAGCTGAAGTCTAAGGAGGGAAAGAGAATTCAAACGCGGTGACTCAGTGCAGCTCCTCTCAGCAGGGGTCAAATGCGAATTTAAAGAGACGTCATAAATCATGCCATTCGGAAACATTTATTTCCCCTTCTGTTTATATAATCAAAAACACGTGTATGTGAGTCATGCTTCTCTCATTTCGAGTTGAAGGTCTAATGTACATGTATCTGAAACCATATGGACATACAATGCCATCTTGTGGCAGAAATTATAGTTTTTAAAACGTTCCAGGATACTGGCACAAATACATGACAGTCGGGGCTGAACGGGGAAAATGCTCTGGCACGCCTGCGTGTCGGCCAGGAAGTGAGTGTGTTCGTTGCTGGCACGTAGACATAACAGTTGGCACGAAGGAATTAAGGAGAAAGTATTAGCACATAAAACGAAGCAACTTAAACAACTTACATTGAAAAAAAATGTTTAATAAAGTAAACAAATAAATATTAAGCTTTTTTTTTTTGTACATTTTAATACTTTTTAGATCATAATTGCTCTTTATTTCATAAATTACAGTTTCTTGTTTTTAATTTTATAATTTCTGCATGCCATCTTACCAGATTTAAATTAATGATCTATAATCCGGAATCGCTGAAGTCCCGATGAGTCCAGATGAAAGACCATGTACTTTACAAAAATTAAATACTGCTTTCATTTTGGAATATAATGCATGTTTCCTTTCATGCATAAACTCATTTGTTATCTGCAAGTGCAATTTGATGCTAATCAAAGCTTTACTTTTCATTTTTGTTGATTTTAAACCTTTTCCGTCCGCTCCTGTCCGTGAAAATTTCTTCCCAGCGGCCCTTGTTTTCCTCAGCATGTAATGTTGTTTTCTATGCACATACATAACTTTCGTAGTGGATGAATGTAAATGAATATTAAGCAAAATTATAAGGAATTAAAGCATAATGGAGTAATAATATCTCTGCTTATTTCTAACAGCAGGATTAATTTGATAACATCTGATCCAGGCAGTCCACTCTTCTCATTTTGTTGTTGTAATCTTTTACAATTATTGGTTTTTTTACAGTGCTTTTCCGTGTTTGAACATCAATCAGAGTTATTATGGACTGTATTCATCCAACATATATCCTTCTTGTCTTTCCAATTCACAACCTTATTTTTTCTCTTTTTCTGCTGAGTAGATGTTGAAGATCTCTCACTGTCTTGTATCTTATGCAAAATGGCACAAATATTCAGAAAACCCAGGTGGGGGGGAATTCAATTAGAAATAGAATGCCTGATTAGTACTGCCCTCTAGAAGATATTAGAACAAACAAAAATAAAAACTCAAACAAGTAAACATTTAGAAAGTGTTTTAAACGTTTAAAAAAATTTAAATGTAGAAGAAAGCTTGAAGTGCATTATGGTTGCCCTGCAGAAGTTTCACGCAAAGAGACCTGCAGACGCTAAGAGACTTACGGACGACGAAGAGGTTAATATGATATGCTTAACATTTGGGAGCTAGTATACAATAGTCAAGAATGAAAACAATCAGTGAACAGATCATAGTGATATCAAAATTTATTTTACTGAAAATAATTTATGAGGGGCATGATGCAGAAGATGATGATATGCATAACTCCATGGTGTCAGATTAGGAAGTTTTATTCATTACTTCAATGAAACTACAAATTCCTTATTCTTTTAATTAAAAATTTTAAAAAGCAGAGTTAATTAGAATTTTTAATTATTTCAGTTTGATTCTTATTGGTATGAACAGATAACAGTTAACTTTAAAAAAAAAAAACCTTAAGAGAATTTATACCTAGAAATAAGCTAGCTACATTACAGGAAAGTTTCAAAACATTTAGTAGAACATGCATATTAAATTTTAAAATATTTAACTAGTGATGAAAAATGAGTTTTCTTTAATTAAGTTCATAGCCATTGAAAAATAGTATATTTCTTATTTTGCTTTCCATTAGTATAAAAAAGTGTAAAAAAGTATGCATATAAAATTTCAGAAAATATTCTGATTGATTCAAAGTTGCAGTAACCTTTCCTTAAACTGAGAGAACTTTCAAATTTAACTTAATGTATAATCAATTCAGTGTGCCAATATTGTAAAAACAAAAAATTACCTTGAGAAATGAAACTTTTCTCAAATTTACTTAAGAAATCGAGGTACAGCAGATCTTCAGCCATTAAAGCTTCTTCACCAACAACAGCTTTGATAGCTTGAACATCTTTACCAATAGCATAGCAGGCATACTGAAATATACTCAAAAATTAAGAATTATGAAACACATAAATGAAAAAAACAGAGCATTTGTATGTCCTTTGTACTTAATAAAAACTAAAAAAACAATACTAACTGTCAGGAAATTGCCAATTTCTATATTTAATATTTAACATTATTAATATTTTTACTTCATAAATGAAATCACAAAATGCCAGGACATAAGTAGTAAAATTATTTTATGCATGTGTGCAGTTGTGTTCAGCTTTAGGCTACTAATTAATTTTAGGCTTGGATTTAAATTTAAAAAACAATAAAAGTTCTACTACAAAGTTAAGTTATTCTTACAAATTGCTGATTTTCATATTCCAGATCTGTTGAATAAAAGAAAATGTTACTTAAATTCCCTTTAATAGTTCTCAAAAAATCTCCAACAAAGATTTATGAACATTAATTCTTAAAAATAAAAACTATAAGAACATACACTCATGCTATAGGAAATGTTAAGTTCAACTGCAGGAATAAGTAAAATAATTTTATAGCCATTTTTTTAAATTCACAACCATCATAATTTGAGATCTATATCACATTGACTATACTTACATGGGGCATATTACATCACAATGTTATATCATTCCTTAAAAAAAGTACATTCATATTGTTACATGCATATGAGTCTAATAGATTGAACATACACAGACCTGATGACAGCTTGATAAAATTTTCTCAAAAAATACACTTTATAATTCTGGAACTTTTCACCAAGGTATTTTTTTTCCAGTGACGGGCACTTGCCTATAACGGCAATGGCTACTCCTAAGGCCAGAAGTGGTGGCATTTTATTGCGGACGCACCTAATAGGTGGCCACCGTTACCTCCTATGAAGGGACACTAGTACTATTATTAGCAGGCCCTCTAGTGTCACAGTCAGGCTCCCCTAACCACTATACCGTCTGGATGCCAATTTTCACAAAAGTAGCTCTTCTCAGTATAGCTGAACACAATCAATAGTTACCACTTAAGTACAAAGAATGTTAAACACAACACAGTGAATTTAAGGAGTGAGCTTGTATGGAGATTTTGCAGTACTCTGAACTCTAAAATTTAAAAGAAAAAAAAAAAAAAAAAAAGAGAGAGAGAGAACCAATGTTCTCTCTGGTTTTGCAAAGTTTTTCCCATGCTGCCAGGAAATTTCCAGTAGCTTTGATTCTTTTAAGTTGCTGGAAAGCATATACAGGTACAGTTACATATAGGGCCTAATTACAGTTAATATGTGTAACAAAATGTCAAGTTTGGTGACAAAAAAATAGTCATGAAAACCATCAACAGCTTGGCACTATCTCGCCAATTTTGCAAGATAGTTATTTACCTTAATGCTAAATGGACTTGCCTCTGTGACCTTATTTTTCGGGCAGAGCTTCAAATTTCTTGAGGCCATTCATGTTACATTATACAAAATTCATAATTATAAATATGCCATGAAACATAATTATTATTAATTTCTAATTAATTTTATCACACTGGTATTATTTCAGCACAGTTGGAAGGCTCAAAATTAACAAATTTAATGTATGGCAAACTGATTAATGCATAATCAGAATACATTGCTATGAAGTGGAGTTTGTTTCGAAATATTTCACATCCTGCAGATGCTTTAACAATTAATGTTAGATATAAAAATATGCATAAACTTATTTTCTACTTTCATGCATGTATTTTAAATTTCATGGGTTCATTATGTCATTTATTATTAACATCTTTTCTATATTTAGCCAATATGCAGGAGTCTTCAGAGAAAAATATTTTAAAAATATGACACAACAGTTCCCTTTTGTGAAGCAGGGTTATCACAAATGTTTTAAAGCTATATTGTTACGGTTTTTGTATTGATTTAGCTATTTTCAAAGAGAATTAATTAAAATGGTTTTATATTACCGTGCAATGCAGCATGAGACTTATTTGAAGAGAAAGCTATGCTGGAAAAATTAAATACAGGAGCACACGTATCTAACATTTTAATAATAGATATCTCGTAACCGTACTCTTTTAATATCCAGAAAAAAATCGAGAAAATATGAGAAGTTTCTCGTACATGTAAGTAATGTACTCGTATATAAGCTGGAAGAAAACATTTCAATTCAGTTGTTTACTTATTGCTGTTAATAATTGTAGGGAATTTGTGGTGAAATCGGATTAGCTTTCTCTGTTTAGAATTAAGTTCTGTTGGACGTTTTAGTAGTTTAAAATATAACTAGCATGAGATATTGCAATATTGCATGAATATCCGAGGAAATTTAACAATATATTTTCTGTTACAATTATTATCTGTTAAGATAACAATATATTATCTGTTATAGTCACATCTAAAAAGAAAATCTTCCCAGATAAGTATTTAAAAATCAAAAACAATAAATGAATCAATGAATTTTGAAGGAAATTTTGATTTTTGATAAAGCTAATCTGACTGCTAATACTTTGACTGAGCAATAATTCACTGCTGCAGAAAACGATTAAAGGCTCTGCTAATAATAGTACTAGTGTTGCACTAGTGCACTAATACTACCTGTACTATAATGCACTAATGTTGGTTCTGGTTGAAATCAATTCTGGTGTTCAGGTTTCTAAAATATTAATATGGAAGATAGAGCAGACTGCCTGCATAAAGAAAATAATGATGAGAGCTGTAGAATTGTATCCTAACAAAACATTTTGGACAGTGATTTAAGAACAACATGAAGATAAAAGGGAAAAGCCACAGTATGAAACTGAAATCTGTAGATAAGAGATCATTAATAAATTCATTTTCAGCTTAATTATACCACAGCTTTGCACAGTAATCTCGGTGTGGTTTTCGGAAATTTCTTCCCCCATTACCAATGCATTAATTATTAACCAGATGGTTTGGTGTAAAGTGAGAGAGCATCAAAATAATTTAGAAAGAGGTATGGCAGTTTGTAAATAATACTGATTACAGTTTTCATTTATTTGTAGAGTGGAAGCTATGAAACTAATCTTGTTAGATAGTTCACCTTTTTTCAAGAAAAAATGCATAATAAAGTTCATCAACTTTTCATAATTTTTATGAAAATTGTTTTAGCTTTATGTAAAATAGATTTTTGACAAATACTACAAGTTTAAAAAAATTTAATCTAGCAATTTATAACAAAAACATTCTCTGAGTATGCACTCTTGGCAGACACACAGTTCATATTTTAAATTTGCCCCTTTATTACAACAAAAATAAAATTCTTTCATTTGTATGCACTGCTAAGTTTGGCAACTTACCAACATTTTGTGTGATTTAAAAATAATTCTGTGGATTTTGTGACATTTTGTTTGACAAATATAATACAATTATTACAATACTGTTAAAATATTAAAATGAAAATTTTGCCTTATCATTAAAGCTACTGTAAATATGTTAATTTTTTTAATTTGTTTAACTTTCATTTCTTATTATAAATAATTTCTTTTATGTAATTATTCTGGAATATTCAGATATGTGTCATTTTTTCTCAAAAATTTATTTTACACATTTTTCTAATTTTGTAAAAAATCTTTCGGCCTTTACACTGACAATGTTGGCAAATTTGATATGAGTTGACTTTAAAAAAGTGTTCATATTTAAAAAGACAAAAATAAATAAAAAATAAACCTTCCTACCAGTTGGTTAGATACATCTGAATGGTCTTTTCTAGTCATGCTTTCTCCAATGGCAGATTTCATCAGTCGAGACAAAGAAGGTAAGACATTAATAGGAGGATAAATCTAAAATATGTAAAATTTATTTTCCTGATTATAATTAATACAAAAACGCATGTATAAATAACATGAAGAAATTATTCACATTTATAATACCCAGAAAAATGAATAATACCTGTCTATTATGTAATTGCCTATCTATGTAGATTTGACCCTCGGTAATGTACCCAGTCAAATCAGGAATAGGATGAGTGATATCTACATTTTAAAGAAAAAAGATGGTATACATTGATGAAATCATACACAGTGTAGACAAAAGTCCTTAAGTGGCCTTTATTTTTACAATCATTTGTCATAAACATATACTTCCAAACCTATTTTAACTGATGCAAATATTCACATTTTAGCATTTCCACATCAAAAAAACCTTAATTATTATATCATTACCTTTACAGATGTATTTAGCAAAATTTTGTACTTTATAAAAATAAAACACCCACTGGAGAAGATATTTAATTCCAATGTCATTTTTAGTTTACCATAAGGCATCAGCTAAAAAATAAAATTAAAATAATTTGAGACGGATCATAATTTCTCTTAAACATTATTCAATATTATTTTGTAATTTACTGGTATACAACATTCTTTAATTTAAAATTTTATCACATTTCGTATGTTGAAAGAATTTTCTTGCAAGTAATAAATATAAAAAATGAGTTACTAACATTCCTATGAAGTTTTATTCATTTTAAAATCATGCAAGTGATACATAGAAGTCACCTGCTCGTGACCAGGTACTTCTTCACGAGCAGCAGATACCTAGAAGAATATCAGAATATACTTTTCCTAAAAACCTATTTCAATTTTTAATCATGTTAATTGCAGTAAAACACTACAGATAATACATGAAGTTTCCAAATGTCATATACATATATATATATATGTCAAGCTTATGGGCATAACAGAAATCTTTAAAAAAAATCTTTAAAGTTAGATGTATTTTTCATTTTTAATTTATGAAGTTAATACTGCAAGTTGACTGTGTACCAGTATTGAAATCTGCTACTGCTTTGTGAAAGACAAGTTCTATGATTTTATGAATAAGTTCTGAGAAAAATATATTCACCAACATAATTCAAGATAATCTGCATAACAATGTCTGTCACTTAACCTATTAACATCAGACACCTTCTTCTTCTAAATTGATATTTCATTTTACTTATATGTATAAATTTTGGTTATTTCAAATTGTGTATGAACTCTAAATATGATCTAAAAATTAATCATCTTAACCAATTTTTGCCATAAAAGATTAAAAAACTGTAGATTTTTTTAATAGGATGATTACAAACTTTTAATATAATTAAAAAGGACTGGAAGACTGTATAAAAAGTTATCTCTTGTGGCGAATAATAAAACAGTCTTTACTATCAATAAAATAAACTTCCTCATATGAAGGTGGCAAACGCCTCCAGCAGCACCAAAATAGTTAAAGATGAAACATGACTTTGTAGCAAGTTATTTACATAGGTTTTGTACTCTTGTAGCATTGTTCTCCTGAAGTTAAGGGTGCAAAACACACTGAAAAGTGTCAGTCTTTAGCAGGAAACATTTCTGAATGTCACTGGAGATAAGTCAAGCATTCTAAGGATCATTTTGACTTACTTCTGATTTTAAATTCAGTGTTTTTAAGCATGGTTTTGTTCTTCTTAGATGTTTTAAAATTTTTATTTAAAATTTTATATGATTTTAGATTCTATTTTGTACATTTTTATTTTCTGATGTGTCTGTGCTGTACATTTCTGCACACTTCTGAATAATCTTCCATTACCAACTATTACCAGAAATTTAAAAATAAAAAAAGTAAAACTACAAGATACAATTAATATCAATCAAATCTATATAACATTTTTTACCATCATTAGGCATAGTGAGAATTGGAATTTGAGTAATAGAACCATTTCTTCCTTCTACTCGACCAGCACGTTCATAAATGGTGGCTAAGTCAGTGTACATGTAACCTGGGAAACCTCGTCGACCAGGTACTTCTTCACGAGCAGCAGATACCTAGAAGAATATCAGAATATACTTTTCCTAAAAAACCTATTTCAATTTTTAATCATGTTAATTGCAGTAAAACACTACAGATAATACATGAAGTTTCCAAATGTCATATATATATATGTCAAGCTTATGGGCATAACAGAAATACACCAAATTAGGGCAACACAATAGTTAAAGCAATACTTGCTTGTTTTTGAAGAGCAAAGATTCATGATATATTATTTCTTGAAATGAAAACTCTTTTTTTAACCAAAATAAAATTTTAATTCCTCAATATTTTAAAAAATATTTAAAATATTTAGAGCTGCCAATTACCGGAAAGCAATATCCAAAATATTTAGAGCTGCCAATTACCGGAAAGCAATATCCAAAATAAAAATTTAAAACACATTTAGTGAAAATAAATGTGCCTTTTTTTCTATACTTTTCAGATCCCTTCTCATGAATTATCAAGTAAATAAATTAATTTTTATATTTTAAGTTAGCTTTGGAAAGCACTTCAAAGTAAACTTGAACTTAAAATAAAAATATTGCTCAGGAGGGTAATATTTGTTGCTAGCCTCGTGCACAAGTGGTCATTTGAAATATAGCCATAGCTATCTATTGAATAATTAAATTTTTTAAAACTAAATAAGCATGCAAATCTCACGTGGAAAAAAAAATACAACAAAATAAAACAATACACCAAATTTTCTTTCCTATCACTTAGCCTTTCCCATTTTGAACAGCTTCTTTTTATATATACAGCTATGTGCCTTAAGTTTTTAATTTCTGGGGACTGATTCTTAAACTGGTAGTCTTAATAGCTTAGCTTAAAATTATTTCAGCTACTAAACTGAAATCTGCATAAACAAAATCACATATTTTAATCTTATACTTTTAAATATTTTTTTTTAAAATTTTTGAATTTTTAATGTAAATTACTCAGTAATCTGATTATTTTTTTTTTTTTTTTGGAAGGGGGGCTTGTGATTTTTGAGTAGCTTCAGAAATTTTTTTCATATTTTATGTTTATTTTTAAAATTTGAAAGCACAAGTTACAGAACAAGCATAAATTGTACTAGAAAATACAATTAAAAAAAAGCACTACTAATCTATATTACCTTTTATTTATATTCCATTCTACAATGCACATTAATGTAAGAAAATACACCGAAATAAAACAGTATATTTAATACTTTTTTCGATAGAAACTAGTTGAGTAACGCATTATCTATCACTTGAGCAGCAATCAATTGCATAAAGAGTAAAAAATCACACGGGAGAAATAAATCCTGAACGCCAAGAATCTAAAGAGGATGCATTGGAAAAGTACAGAAAATATGCCTACAGAAGCATTTATAGCAGCTGATCATGTAAGAGAACAGAACAATAATGAAAAAATTTAAAATACCATTTTGCTGACTGGTACTCAAATAGCATCAAACTATCAATTTTACAAACTAATACATACCAAAAATTGAACTGGCCTGACCCAATTTCAATTTCTATTACAGTGAATACGTGACTGGATCTACAAAGCAGTTCAATGGTATATATAATCAAGGGTAACAGATACCATACTTGCAAAATCAAAGCATGAAAAAAGAAATAAGCTATGATCTTATAAAGAGTCATAATACAGATTTACATGAACAAACTATAAAAAATAAGATGAAGTTTAAAAAAAATCATTGAAGTGTTACAAAATATGAAATCGAAAATAAAACAAATCTCAAATTGGGGCTTCCAGATGCCCATATTTGGTGAAAGATTACGTTATTAAAAATTTGATGGCTCTAGGTGCAAGAAACATGCATACATTTATGCAGATTCTTCATTATTTAATTTCTTTAAACATAACACAGGGCAATAATATTTGGTGGCAATAATTTGAAAAAGTGACCGACATTTAAAGTTTTCAATGCAAAATGCCAAAATGAAATTAATAGCCCTTTGGGTTAAAAAAAAAAACATGCAGGTTACTCAAAAACTTCTTGAGGCATTAAGATTGGATTAAATTATTTGATAACAGAAAATACATAACATGACTACTTAGCATTCATGACAAGATGCTTGTGAGGAGATGTTTTTGAGAGGAAATGGCCCACATTCACAATTTGTTAGAGAAAAAACACAAAGTAAAAGCTTTGTGCAATGAGCTCATGAAACAATCATGAGTAAAGCCCACCACTGTTTCACAACTTTTATTGCATGGCCATTGGTCACCTCTGAAATGGCATGCGAGTTCAGAATGCAATATTCTGATAACATATGGGTGGATTAAATTATTCATTTAGGCAAAGCTTATGAGGATTACCTGTCTATGTTAATGCCAATCGTGATCTACAGTATCACACGGTGAGAACCTTGTATCCCTCTTCCTCTAACGCTACTCTTTTGAGAAAACTTTTAGCTAAACGGATTTTAAGTAACAACATGCCAAAATGACATTACGCAATCACAAACATCCTTCTATTATTCAGGATTTCAACTGAGGAATACACCAGTGGAGTAGGAATTAATAAACTTCTGACAACTACTAACATCACATGCAGCCCCTGGAAACACGAAGCAAAAATCTACACAATATTCATTCCTATATAAAAGTAAAAAATTTTTTTTAACTTTTTCTGTTATATTTTGTCTTACAATTCTGTAGATTTGAATATACAATTTCCAACTTCACACATAAACACTACTATTTAAGGTTTTGAATTATGTTTTCTTCTGACAGTACACTGATCTTCCCAGCATTAAACACTATTATTCATCATATATATATTAATTATAACCAAAATAAAGATATAGTATTTTATAGTTAAATGTTACTATTTCAAGTTATTTCCCTGCAATTTGAAATTTGAAACTTAAAATACCATATACATCATCATAAAAAAAATTGGAAAATAATTCAATATTTTATTTGAAAAATCTTTAAAAAAAATTAGATAATACAACTTAAACAAAAGCATAGTATGTATTACACTAAACTGCATAAATTGACAGCTTTATTCTAACTTTATTCTGACTTATCAAGTCTGATTTTCTAACAGCTCAATTTCTTATTGTGCTTATTAGAAAGGTTTGTCTAGATATATAACAACTGTCCTATATTCTAGCAAAACAAAGGATAAAAAAGCTCATTTTATCAGAATGAAAACTTGCATTTGCAAAACAAATAAATAAAATAAAATAAATTTTACCTCTCTCAAGGCCTCTGCATATGACGACATATCAGTGAGAATGACTAAGACGTGTTTTTCACATTGGTAAGCTAAGTACTCAGCTGTTGTCAAAGCCAAACGAGGTGTGATAATACGCTCAATTCTAAAAATTATAAGCATTATGTTGGTAAAAACTATGAACAAATTTTCCAACCATTGTATCCCCATATATAAAAATATTTAATAATTTATTATTAGATAAAAAATAATACAAGAAATGTGATATAGAACTGAAAGCAAAAGTTACACTTTATGTTAAAATAAAGAGGACATTTTTAAATCTATCGAGATATTAAAAATAATACTTTTCAATAATTTAAGTTACATTTTTCATAATGCAATATAAATGTTTAAAAACGATAGAATTCTAAATTTTTGTACATTTAAATAAAAAAATTAACAGATACAGACAATTAAAAAAATACTCAAATCATAGCAAATACCAAAATAAGAGATAAACTTTTGATATTTCAGTCATTTTTATGGAAAATATAAAAACTTGATTTAATGTTACCAAAAAAAATATCTTACGTAGGATCATTGGCCAGGTTTAGAAACAAGCACACATTCTCCATAGATCCATTTTCTTCAAAATCTTGCTTGAAAAATCTAGCTGTTTCCATATTGACCTAGTTTCATTTAAACACTATTTTATTTCAGAAATAGTTTTACGCATCAGTTTATAACACATAATATTTCTGAAAGAAAATTTAGGTTGAAAACATCTAATAATTTTTTCATATGCTAGCTTTAGAATTCAGATGTCTCTCTGCACAAGTTTTGAAATTATCAGTTAAATTTCACACTTTTTAAAAATATTTTATCTAACTTTATAATTGAAGAATTATCACATCAATTAGCCTTTATCTTTCATTAATATTTACAGCACATGACAAGTGCTGTAAATATTAAGTTATTACAAGTTAAAGAACAGTAATTTATTGAGTCACGGATAGCATAAAAAAAAGAATACCATAAAATATATATAAATTGAGTTTAATTGACAAAAAATTACTACTTTAATAACATCACTTAATTATACCATCTAAATTAAGCTCTCTTAATGTAAATCTTCATTTGATGCTTTTATTAAACTTTTAGCCACATCAAAAAATTTACTGCTGAAAGATGTAATGTGTAAAAAATAACAATCTTAATCTTACTAGTACTCCATAACGCACACAGAAATTAATAATAAATAAAGAATATTACATTTTACACACATATATAATAAATTACTGGTACTTAGGTACTATTGCAACCATCTTAATAGAAATAGCCAAATTTTTAGAAAACTTCAAACTCCAGCAACACTATGCTCATAACAATAGTTTCACTCAAGCAACATCACCATTTTTGTAAGCGTTCTATTTTGTTGTATTCCAAATTCCAACGGTTTTTATACACAAATCATGATATTTTTTGCCTTAGTTTTGAAATATGAGCTTGTGGAATTCACAAGTAATGGAAGAAACTGCAGTAAAATTTCAGCAATATTACAGAATTTCGTTGACCATTTTCTAAAGGGAACAATGAGGAAATGTGTTTTCTAGATAGCTGCTGTTGCAAAAGGTTGCACAAAACCGAGTCTCCGCAATTCTCTGATTAAGTTAAAACAGACCGCTGTGTACTTCGGGAGAAGAATAATGAAAAGAAAATTACAAAGAGATTCAAAGAAAAATGTGTTTCATATTTTTAATGTATGATACAATCCTTATTTTATAATTCAAATTTGTATTTTAAATTAGTAAAGTATGTTTTCTTTTCATATATTGATATTGTTTACCAAACTTACTGTAAATATCGAAAGTTTGGGAATCCTTCTAAAAAAAAGAGTGAAAACCACCAACTTGCACATGCTATACATTTTCATCCTTAAAAAATTGCCAAATTGCACCAAAATGGTTGCAATACTATGAAAGTACCAATTACCGATTATATAAAAGGAAAAGGATAATAAAAAAATTCTACAATATGTTAATCCTATGCAATATAACACACTTTTCTGTTATTGTGACCAGTTTCAGAAATAAGCTTATCTGTATATACACACATACGTACATATACAAATAATGTATGCATACATATGTGCATTTCTGAATATAGTCCCAATAATGAAAAAGTATGCAATAAAAACATACACCTTCTAGAAAACTTTAAAACAAATTAAATTATTTCATTTAAATATATTTTCATTGTGTTACTGAAAAATATAATTCAGAAACACAGCTGTGCAGTACCTTCTCATGAATTACATTTGTTTTTTTAAAATTTTCATTTGCACCTACCAAAATTTTATAAAAATTTCCACCCCCACTTGTTTTAAATATATGTTAGTAAAGGTAATACAGAAATTTCCAGATCTAAAATGCTTTGAATGCTCCAAGAATTACTTGTTAAAACTGGCATAGAATTTTTAAGAAGTGACAGTAATTATTTATAATTCTTTCATAAACAATGATAAAACTCTTTTTGAAAAAAGTACAATAAGGACATTATTAATGTCACGTTAAAAAAATATACATTCTTTGGACATAACAATATAATACACAAAATTATGCAAGTGAATTATTTGTATGAATAAATTATTCATGAAACATTTAGATCAGCAAAAATTTAGCAATATTTATTTCATACCAAATCCATCATTTTTTTAAACCATTAATTTAAAGTCCATAAAAGATACAAATATTTACTTACACCCATAGCTGCAAACACAATGGCAAAATTATCATGCTCCTGATCCATAACATCTCGGTTTTTAACCAAGCCACTCTGACGACAAATTTGAGCAGCAATCTATAAAGAATTATACTTTTAAAAAAAACTGTTCACTAAATGCAGTCATTTATCATTTTACAAAAAAATATACAATTACATGAAAAATGTACACCAGAGAAAATTGCAACAGATAGGTAAAATAAATATGTAATTTACCATTAACAATTAATTACTTTAAAGAATCTAAAACCCTCAAATTTTTTTTTAGTATTTAATGATTAAAGCTGTAAAAACTGTCAAAAAATGTGAAAATTTAAAGAGGAAAAACATTCATATAAGTTTCATATATTCTCATAAAGTTTTACTATTTTTTATTTTATAATTCTTATGAAAAGTTTTTATATTTAAATAGTTTTTTTAAAAATATGCCAATTTAACATTGAAAATCTACTATTTTTTTATTTATTACTATTTTTAAAAGTTTCATTTTAGAGACTCTTACTTAAAATCAATTGCACAGCAGTTTTAATTAAATAATGAATTATAATATTTGGCTTTAATTTCAGTTTTCTAATCTTTAATATCCTAGGTTTTTTGATGAAATATTTTGCTTAAATTTTAGCAACAAAAATTAGATGCATCTTTTGTTCAAATTTTGTTTTTCTTTTTAATTTTTGGCAAAAACCTGCTCTTGAAACCAGAATCCCATTTTAAACCTGATGTCTGATATGCCAGGATCTTTTAAAGCCTATTGACCTAAAGAAAGTCCTATATACCCTAAAGAAGAATTCAGCAGATTAAAAAACATTTAGAATCCAATGACCTAATATTATACATTTCAAAGAAGTCAGTTATGCTACTGCTTTCAGTTCTATTCATTTGGTTTTCATATTATATATTTTTACTTCTCCATACCTGCGTACAATGTACATTGCTTTCATAAATCAAAAATCGAAATCAAATGCTAAAAACCTAGGTAGGAATAGGTAAGAAGACAAATATAAGTTACAGTATTGGTTGTTAAAATTAATATAATTATCTTAAACTCTGAAAATTTTAATTTTGTTTTTCAATTAGGAGGGAAAGATTTGTTATAATCAACTTGAGATACAAAAATTTGGTACTTTTCCGTTTTGCCGGCGCAGGCGATAAAGTCGCTAATAATGGTACAACTCATGCCAAACGTAATATCTTCGGTGGTAACCTTTTACGCCTTATTTTCAAAACAAGTCCCAGCTATTTCTTATCAGACTGATTGTTTCTTTCAATGCTAGCATACAATTACATAGAATTTTTACCAGATAGTTCAGTTTATGCCCTAAAGCCATTCGCGGTAATTAAGTTGATTAGGATGCAATCACACCCCTTACCCGAAGGCGAAAATATAGAAAAGGCAAAGCCAAGGGTCATCAATTCTAATGAGAATGCACTAGCGAAGTAAAGCACTGCGGTTTTACATAATTTCTGAGTAAGCTATTCGTACGAATTGAAATAATTCTTGCATTTAAACTTGTATTCCAAATTAAGATTTAACTTGAAATTAATGTAAATAATTACTGAGAGAATTAGATTTTTGTGCGTAGTTTACGTGAGATGAGATCGCTTGGGGTCACGTGATATGAACGGGCGAATCAGGATGTTGTACGATGAAAGCGTAGTAAATTCTTAAATTAATGTCTTTTTACCAATTTATTGTCTTTATTTATTGGCTTTTTCACAAAATTTTAAACTATATTAAAATATTTATACCTTCAAAATAAAAAATTCTTAAAACTAACGTTTGTCAACACTTTTTATGTGTATACTCTGTGTTTTCGCCAATAAAGTCTACTTGGCGAGGTTTGTGCCGGCGAAATGGAAAAGTACCAAAAATTTAATACAGATTGTATTTTTTGGACACGCTAAACTTACATATGGCCCTATATGAAATAAATATTTTCCATATCTGAATCAATAAAATGAGGGGGAAAAAAGCAAATTAAACAATTTTTGGCCACATATGGTATGTGGTGTAAATCATTAGAAATATTCCTTTAAATTAAATAGATAATATTGCAAATGCTGATAAAAATTTTAATATCTATTTAAATGTTCTGTCTTATAACATTAAATTGTATTTTAAGTTATATCTATTTGATAGAATGCTAAAAAATAAAGAAAATCTAAATTATTAAGAAGTGCATTCTTTGCTATAAACTGTTTAATTTGTCAAGAAATTAAGGATTGTTTATGTTTGAAAAACAAAGATTTTATGCTTTGCTGAAAGGTTACACTGTTAAGATCTGCCTATTTGTGAAGTTAGGTACAAGACAAATTACAGACATATCTTCTGTTTCTCACAATGGCAACATCTGCTGAATCAAGTAGCAACAAATACATAGTAGCTTAATGTAACAAATATAATGACTCAAAACCACAGAAAGATTCCACTAAAACATTTTTCACATTAAAAAATGACTTAACAAGTTTACACAGCACAGTGTTTGATATTTATTTTGCTTACATTCACATATAACAGGAAATAGAAGAGGAAATGAAAAAAAGACATAACATACGAGGAATAATTTTTTACAGAAGGTAGCTTTTTGTTTAAAAGTGAAATTATGATTAAAACAGTTAATGCTTCTTAAAGTAACGGAAAATGTGAAATTAAGTGGCATGTGTTCACTTATATAAGGATTTTCAAATAAATGAAATGAAGAACAATTACACAGATTTTTTTCCTAGTTGAAATTATGAACAATACAATCAAGGCCGTTTCTAGGTCATTGGCTACACGCGTACATTCCTCAGATTGCCGTCCCCAAATTAAAAAAAAAAAAAAAAAGTTCAATGATTAATAAAATTTTTATTTCATACTAAGTACTTACATATTGCAAATTGTATAAGAAGCACTTACAATGAATTTAATGAATTAAAAATATTTAGATGTGGTATCGCAAAAGTTCGGCCATCCCCGATTTTCGCCACCAGTGTTCTTTCATGCGCTGCATTCCCACTAGGAACGGCCCTGAATGCAATGCTGTTTGTTTTACAAGATTCCTTCTGTTACTTACTTCATTATGAGGTAGACCAGCTGCTGAAAATATTGGAATTTTCTGACCTCGAGCTATACTGTTCATAACATCAATTGTTGAGATACCTGTCTGAATCATTTCTCTGGTAAATAGACAGGTTAATGGACTAAACCAATATAGAAATAAAATTAAAAATTAACAACCACCCTAAAAAAAAAAAAAAAAAAAAAAAAAAAAAAAAATGTTTCAGATTTTAAATTATGTCCAAAGGGGCGTTTTTTAACATTTTGTGTGTTACCTTTCTTTATTAAATATCATTTTCCTCGCACTTAAACCATAAGATCCAGTGCAACAGCAATATCGCAAAATAGTTTTAAAACGAGCATATCTTTAGAATTTCCGATACAGAGACTCACGCGCTGGAGATAAAAATGTTTTTCTGCACAACGTTGCCATTGCTCGCTTTGAAATCCTTGAGTTTGTTAATCAAAAATTCGTCAAAGTTTTAAAAAATAGGAAATCGATCATAAAACAAATTTCAAATTTGGTCTTCCACATGCTCATATTCGTTGGAGGATTACGTTATTCAAAATTTCGATGACTCTATGTACCGTTGTTTTATCACAATGCGAGATATACATACATTTATGCAGATTTTCATTATTTAATTTCTTCAAATATAATGCAGGACTTTATGGCAACAGTTTGAAAAGTGAAACATTTATAGTCCGACGCAAAATGCCAAAACAAATTAATCCTTCGGTCCTTTGACTAAAAAAAAACAAAACAAAATTCACTGATATGCATAAACTAACCCTGAATATCCAAAAAGTCTTCAGCTAAGACCGGTGGTCCTTTGTCAATAGGTTTACCGGAACCATTAAAAACTCGCCCTAGCAAAAAGGAAATATAAATTACATCATTTTAATATATTAGTTAACACTTTAAATTTATATTTAAAAATAACCAATTTTTAAACAATGCATGCAAAATTCCAAAAATATTTCAAATACCTTACCCAGCATATCTTCAGAAACTGGGGTTCGCAGAATATCTCCAGTAAATTCACATAGTGTGTGTTTTGCATCAATTCCTGATGTGCCTTCAAAAACCTAATTTTTTTTTTTTTCATTTTATTCAGATTTTTAATAGAAATGCAGTTTTTCATATCAAAACATAATTGGTTTATTATAAATCAACAATCGTTTTTGTCTGTTATAATGCAAAAATAAAAACCTTATTTAAATGCTGATATGCCCAACAAGTCAACAATAAGAAACAACACAAGATATTATATAAAATAGTGCAATGAAAAACTAAACTCGGTAAAAGTTTACAACTGGGTGCCCCTTGTTTTTTTGGTGTTTCTTTTTTGACACCAAAATTGGCACCAGGAAGGCACAATTTCAAGATGACTGCTACACAAAACCAAAATAAGAAGTCGAAGAATTGCACAAACTTTGTGTCCATGTACACATCAATCTGTTTTCACTTAAAAAAACATCCTAGAATTGCACAAACTTTGTGCCCATGTACACATCGATCTGTTTTTCACCTAAAAAAACATCTTAGAATTGCACAAACTAGGCATTGTGCACTGCTTTAAATTTGTCCATGTACACGTCAATCTATTTTCATTTAAATAAAATCAGGAAGTTAAACAAAGTTAAAACTATCATGATAACCAGAAGTGAGGTTTCATCGCCAAAATTTTAAAAAAATTGTTACTAATCAAAGGGGCACCCAATTCTACACTAAAGAGAGCCCTAAACTCTACCATAAGAGATACGCTGGCATGTTAACAAACATATTTCAATTAAGTAAGCATTTATTTTCACAGCAAAGTCCCTTAAAAACAATTGTGATTACTTATTAACAGCTTATTCCCAAATTAAAAAAATGTAGACATATGGTTAGTAATAAGTAATTAGAAATCCCATATTTTTAATTTTGAAAGGAGTGTGAATTTTGTTCATTCATTTAAGTAATTCAGATTACACTTAAAATTTAATTATACTGTCCATTACTGTTTATTGGTTCCATTTAATAGTTCTTAGAATACATTATACACTTTAATTTCGACAGAGAATGTATAAATGAAAAATAAACATTTATGTAAAATTTAACAGCAAACTTATACGAGGGCCATCCAGGAAGTAGATTACGTTTCCGTCTGTGTCCGCTAGGGGCGGGGCTAGCGCGGCCATCTTGGGGTCAGAGCGTTGCGCAGCTCAGTCTGCATCTAGCCGTGCTAGTGAGAGGTTCGTGCTGTGCTCCGTTCAGATACTGTGACGGTTTGAAATGTCTGCGTTAATTGAAAATCCCGCGAGCTGCGAGGTGCGCTCAGTAATAAGGTTTCTGACTGCAAAAAAACTGTAAACCGATAGAAATCTATCGGCAGCTTCGTGAAGTGTATGGGGACAACATTATCACTGAAGGTGGAGTGCGTCAGTGGGTCATAAGATTTCAAAATGGCCGAACCAATGTTCACGACGAAGATCGAAGTGGGAGACCCAGCATAGTGACCGCCGAACTTCTCGAAAAAGTCGATGCTAAAGTCCGTGAAAATCGAAATTTCACAATAACGGAACTTTCTTTGAGTTTTCCACAAATTTCGCGAAGTTTGTTGCACGAAATCATCAGCGAAAAGCTTGGTTACCACAAGTTTTGTGCAAGATGGATTCCAAAAAATCTTGACAGAGGACCACAAAAATCAGCGAATGGCTGCAGCGTTGAACTTTTTGGACGCTTACCATAAGGATGGTGACTCTTTACTCGATCGCATCGTTACTGGTGACGAAACATGGGTGAAACATGTGAACTGTGAAACGAAATTGCAATCAATGCAGTGGGGGCACACAAGTTCTCCCCAAAAACCCAAGAAATGCATGCAAACAATGTCGGCAAGGAAGATGATGGCGACTGTTTTTTGGGACAGAAAAGGTGTAATTTTGGTGGACTTCCTGGAAAGAGGCACTACAATAAACTCTCAAAGGTATTGCCAAACTCTCCAAAAAACTCAGAAGAGCAATTCAAAACAAGCGCAGAGGAATGTTGAGCTCTAAGATCTTGTTGATTCACGACAACGCCCGGCCCCACACGGCAAATGTCACTCGTAAAGTTCTTGAATCTTTTAAGTGGGAGTTGTTTCCTCATCCGCCGTACAGTCCCGACCTGGCACCGAGCGACTTCCACCTATTCCCAGCAATGAAGAAGTGGCTGGCTATGCAGCGTTTTGATGACGACGCACAGCTGCAAGAAAAGGTAACGAAGTGGTTGAAGGCGCAGGCGGCCGAATTTTTCGACGAAGGAATTTCCAAGCTCGTACATCGCTACGATAAATGCCTTAATTTGTATGGTGACTATGTAGAAAAGTAGTATTTGAGTGTGGCTTTCATCTGTATATAATAAAATTTGTTTCCTATACTTTGTTTATTTTTTTATTCCAAAACGTAATCTACTTTCTGGATAGCCCTCGTATTTGCATAGCCTTGAAAGAAGAACATCCAAATAACTAATGTTTTACAACATCTCCTCAAAAAGGACACTATGCCAGTACAATTCATTTCATACAAATATTTTTAATAATTTAAGAATTTATAATTTGTGTTTCATATAAATAAAAACTTTTAATGGCTTTAATACTTAAAAGAAGCTATTACCTGTACAACAGCTTTTTTCCCACTGACTTCCAATACCTGCCCTGTACGTGCAGTTCCATCAGCCAGAACTAACTGCACAATCTCTGCAAACTTTGGGAACTGAGAGGGGAAAAACTTACAATTATATGCTAATTCTAATAAAAAAATTGCACTCTGTAAGTAATTATAATGGCTATATATAATCAGAATCAAATATTCATGCACAGTAAAAATCCAATAGTAAACAGTTGCTGTTTTATGCCATAAGTCATAAAGCTTGAAGAGATTCAGAAAAGCAATTTAAACAAAATTTCTTCAATCCAGTTACACATCAATAATTACATTTTAAATTAATTGAATATAAGTATATTATGGTTTGAAATATAAACAGTCAATTTATATGGGTTGGAAACTGTACTGATTGCTTAAAGTGCTGAAAATACCTCGAGCTGGTGCTGGTTTTCCAATATTACCTTGGAAGCTACTGGGACTACAACAATGGTCATAGCAGAGAAAGTTTCTGAATAGCCAACAAGCAGAAAAAAAGCTCTAAAAATTGGCTAGGAACTACTCTGATATGCGCCCTCAAGTCGCCAAATTTCTCGCCAAATATTTTTGGCGAGAAACTTTAAGCTGCCATATTACTATCTAAATTTTTTGTCTACATTTTGAACTTTTAGCCTAAAATGTCTCCAAAAACTACGTTTTGAACACACAATTTAGCTAAAAATCCGAAACAAAAACAAAAAATTTAGACAGCAAAAACGTAAAGTTTCTAACCAAAAATATTTGACAAGAATCCATGTACACAGCGACATGTTTTAACTTAAAAAAACATGTACGAATAGCACACTGTAGGCAACGAACGAATCTACAAACCACGCAGACCTCGCTTTAATAAATTAACATAACAACAATAAATTTCAAAGAAAACCATGTACACAGCATCCTGTTTAAACTTAAAAAAAATTCTACGAATTGCACAATTTAGGCGAGGAAGGAATCTACGATCTACGCACTCCTCGCTTTAATAAAATAACATAACAACAATAAATTTCAAATAATACCATGTACACAGCGTTCTGTTTCAACTTTAAAAAACATCTACGAATTGTACAGTCTAGACACTAAACAACAAAATAAACTAAAATAAATTTCAAACAATTTAAAAAAACAACAATAACGACAGAAAATCATACTAAAGAACCAATGAACATAACATTCTACAAAATAAGAACAAGGATAAAATAAAATGCACTTACCATGAATTAATGCGTTTTCGATAATAGCAGAAATATAAATTTCATACCGCCTTTAACATGCCGCCACGTAATCACTATCGTATTTACATGACAGCCAGACACACTATCCAGAAAAAAAATTTATACTATGGTTCACAATAAATAAAATCACAAAATCCCTACTTCTATCATGCACTGCCATTAAAAATAATCTCCCAGACCCTCTTTCCACAGTTCCAAATACCGACTACCCCTCAACAGGATAGCCACAATCATATTTCCTTTTGCCGAACTACCATTTTATCTTTCCCTCCCATCTTCTCAGACACAGAGGCGAACCAACGAGCTCCAGGGAAAGATTTTTCAACGTCAACAGGGTTGCCATAGAACACGCAATCGCACCAAAAACCAGCGCAGAACACATATCGCCACATTTGGTGAAATTAGGGAGTATATTAGAGTTGTACCATTGGCTAAACCCATACAGAGGTTCAATAAAGTGTACTTAGTTTGCATTAATTCAACCCTGACATACATATCTCAAATTAATTTTACCAAAACAGCTTTTTTTGAAAGGCATTGTATCTTAAAACCCTTTCTATAGTCACATCTGCAATGGACTGAACAGATCAAGATAAAGATTATCAATTGAATCAATAGCACATTAAATTAAGGCATGGAAATAATGGCTGATGTTGAAAAATTTTAAAGTGGTCCTAACGAGACCGTCATTCATTTATATTCCTTTAGAGAAACTAGAAGTAAAATAGTGAATTAAGTCAGTTGGTCCAACTTCAGTGTTTTTGACTGAGTTGGCCCAAAAGTAAGCTTTGATTTTGTGCACTATAAAATATACCTTCATACCTGTTGGCCAAACTGCTCGTTTTGGCATAAAAACTGCAATTTTAATATTAAAAATTTTTTAAAACTATTTTAACTGTATTTGGGCATTTTATGTTTTCCTGTATAACAATTTTTTAATAAAGATGTTTTAAGTTTTACACATTTTTGCCTTGCTGCAAAGTGAGAACCGAATTGATTCATGAGAAATATAACTGTAATAAAATTTGAAGAAATTAGCTTAGTGAAATGCAGCAAAAATGTGTATTATTTAATAGGCTGTACAAGGACGTTATGTGGTGTCCATACTAGATATTGTTATGGATTTGGTATTTAAATAGCTAATGTTAGAATTATAAATTAAATTGTTTTATTCCCCGTGCAGTGCAATGCGTAATGGAGAAAGCTAAGCCAGAAAATTAAAAATACAAGAGCATGTGCATTTAATAAATAAATATCTCTTTTTGATTTCAAGAACCTGCTAGAACAATCTTGCGTGTGATTTAGAAAGCTTATAAAAAGGAAGAAAGCCTCTCAATGCAGTTAGTTGTTGTTTTAAGAGTTTATTTAGAAATTTGCTCTTGCTAACTGTAGCGAATTTGCAGATTAGCTTTCTCTAGCTATTTTGAATAAAGTTCTGTTGAACGTTTGAGTAGTTAAAAGATAACTACTGTGAGATATTGTAATACTGTACGAATATCTGAGGAAATTTAAGCATTCTGTTTCATTTGTTGTGATAATAACAAATTTTGTCCATCTTTCATCAGACTTGTGCATTCAATTCATAACGAACCCGTACGAACACAACAATTTTTGGTGGCAGCAGTGGGATTTGAATGTCAATAACAAGAGCGATGAAAGAACAACTAAGGCAGTTGATATCAGCCTTTGCCTTGTTTAAGGAAGAAATGAATGTGAGGCAGGAAGAGATGAAATTGGGCCAAGAATCAGTTAAAGAAGAGATTACCTGCATAATAGAAAAATTTGATTGTAGGGAGGGCAGAATAGACGCTGTTGAAAATAAAGCTGCAGAAATTCAAGAAAGAGTTTCTTCTGTGAAAGAACAAATAGAAGAGAGACTTTCTACTGTGGAGTAATGAATTGAAGCAAGAGTTCCAGCCGTTCAACAGTGAATTGAACAACAAATTGAAGAAAAAGTATCTGTCGTCCAAGAACATATGGGACAACAAATTGATGACAGGATTTCTGCAGTAGCCAAAGAAGTTGATAATTTAAAGAAATTCGTAGCAATGGCAGGGAGCAAATCAAATGGCTTTAAATTTCTGCCCATGCCGACTCGTCCCTTTCTGAAGCTATCCACATACGATTGGAAGACCTCCTGACAAGTATATAAGACACAATTTTCTATAGTGGTGGAAGCAAATGGATGGGATCCCCAAGCTCAGACCTGTCATTTCGCCGCTTCTTTGAGAGCAAATGCAGCGGCTATCCTTCAGACTCTTCCCCAAAACCTAGGCTAAATTTCGAAGATCTGTCCGGCACCTTGGAGCTGCAGTTAAGCAAGAAATGTTTAAAAGACTACACCAGGCTTCAAAGTCCCATCAAGAGAACGGAAACACTCCAGGAACTTGCCACAGATGTTGAAAGGCTGTCCCATTTCACCTTTTCGGAGTGCCCGACAGAAACAAGGGAAATCCTGTCCCTGCAATACTTCATGGATGGCATCTGAAATACAGAAAGCTGTGCAAATGGCAGATGTGAAGGACATAAAAAACGCTCTAGTGTATGTCATGAAATTCGAGGCAGCCCAGCAAGAAAATTGTAAAGATCACTACTCAGTCAGAGCTCTACGAGTCCACGAGCCAGTGGATCAGTTGATGGTTCGTTTAGATGATTTAACAAAGGTGTGGTTGTGGAATCCGACTCGATGGAAAGAACTCCGTCCGAAATTACAGTCATCTTGGGATAGTCTGTACACAGTCCTAAACAGGCTGAATGACGTCGTGGTTCGGATCCATAAGTCTTTGAACTCTAAACCTAAAGTCATTCATTACGACAGGTTAGCTCATTACTATGGCCATAGTACGTAGTGTAAATAATTGTAAATAGTGTATGACCATGGTCCTTTTGTTTCTAAATGTGTATTTGATTTGACTTGTATTTAGTATTTGATTTGTATGTAATATTTGATAGCATTTGATTTGTTTAAGTTAGTTATTGCATTTATTGTTCATGTAGTTGTTATTATAATGTAATGTTTATTATTGCATTTATGCCTTAGTTATAAGTTTTCCCAGGTTTAGTTTTGTCCAGGGATTGTACTGCCCGGGACGTGCAGTCCTTGGGGAAGGGGCAGTGTTATGGATTTGGTATTTAAATAGCTAATGTTAGTAGAATTATAAATTAAATTGTTTTATTCCCTGTGCAGAGCAGCAAGTGATGGAGAAAGATAAGCCGGGAAATTAAAAATACAAGAGCACTTGCATTTAACATTTAATAAATAAATATCTTTCTGATTTCGAGAAATTGCTAGAACAATCTCGCGTGACTTAAAAAGCTTATAAAAAGGAGGAGGAAAACATCTCAATTTAGTTAGTTATTGTTTTAAGAGTTTGTTTAGAAAATGCTCTTGTTAACTGTAGTGAATTCGCAGATTAGCTTTCTCTAGCTATTTTGAATTAAGTTCTGTTGAACGTTTGAGTAGTTAAAAGATAACTACTGCAAGATATTGTAATACTGTACGAATATTTGAGGAAATTTGAGCATTTTGTTTTATTTGTTGTGATAATAATAAATTTTATCCATTTTTCATCGAACTTGTATATTCAATTCATAACGAACCCGTACGCACGCAACAATATCTTTTAATTCTTTTTCAATCTTTTTTGAAACTTCAAAATTTACTTCAGAACTGCTGTTTTCCTGGCTGGCATTGCTGAATTAGTTGTTGGCATAAAAAACTACAATGTTGATCACAGATTCTTTGTAAATCAACAATGGCTTCTTTACAGAAGTAAACGTGAAGGAAACAAAAAGTAAAAAAAATAAAAGTGTATTATATTAGTTTATATTGTTGTA